CAAAAAAACCCCCGTTATTTGTACTGATGTTTGCTGTGGCAGAATCTTATATAATTAGTTACAAAATTAATAACTTTATTACTGTGCATTCCTAGGCAGAGCTGGGTTGACATGAGGCACAAAATGTTGAAGTGGAGCCACATTTCCTTCCATGTGTTCTATCACCTGAAAAACAGGACTTAAATGTGGACCCAATTACTGTCTAGATCAGGGTTTCCCAAACTTGGGTGGATCTCCAGCTGTTTTTGGACTACAGTTCCCATTATTCCTGACTACTGGTCCTGTTAGCGAGGGGTGATAGACGTTATAGTCCAAAAACAGCTGGAGATCCACCCAAATATGGGAACTCTGGTCTCAATGGAGACCAGAAAAGGATGACAACAATGTTTGGATAGGAGTCAAGAATGGAGTAATGAAGACCTTCAAATACCACAATATATTTTCAATACTGCAAAAGAATGGTTGGCTATTTGCTACCTAGCAAAAAAACAAAACAAACATCCCAAACTATCAACTAACACCATCCCAAAACATACAATACAACCATCTGGCAGTTATTCCTTCCCTGAATCTTAACTGCACTGTTGTGGGGAATCTCTTCATGATACAAAAAGTTCTGCAAGCTTCATAAACAAGACTCAACAGCCCTTGGGAGTGACCCCAAGAGCTAAGCAATAGGTGTTTGTAACCATCAGCAGGCCAGCTATTGAACGCCAGCTCACTAATTGACACACAGATGTTTTCCCCATCATACTGCTGAATGCCTTATTTCTGGGATCTTCTGAAACAAACGCAATGTTCTGCAGTCACATAGGCAGCAGATACAGGAAGCTTTTTAATGAGGCTCCATTGGACCCTGGGCTTGCTGGTCATTAGGACCGAAATCCCTCATGATCAATACTCTCTCTTCCAGTGTTTGCCTGGAGCTCTCTTGGTGAAGCTTGAGACACAGAAGTCTACTGTGGGACTGAGGCATTTTCATTTGTACATCAAGGGATATTGCCTAAGGATGTGCTTTTCAGTATATGAAGAAAGAATGAAGAGGTAGGGAGGCCTTGTACCAGCAGTAGAGGATTCTTGCACCTCCTGGGACAACTGTTGAACTAAAACCTTCTTAAGAAAACCTGCATCCATTAAATTTATCTCACTGATGTTTCCAGAACGAAGGAAACAATGTGTTGATTTGCTTGCGTTTGGAATTACTTGACTGTTGCTTTTCCTCTTATTTTCAGGTCTATATAATCTATGTGAAACACACAGAGGCTTCCTTTATACTTCAAGGCAATTATTTCCAATGGAACTACAGAGGAACTGGTCACAGTTATTTATTTTCCCCCACCACATGATGCTTCAAACTATTTTGCCACTCCAAAGGGAGACAGCTATATTTAAAACTGTGGCAATCACAGCTAGGAAGTTTCTGCTGCTATTCAAAAGAGCTGCATCCACTATTTCCTTTATTATTACAATACTTGTTGCTACATGGGGCCGGGGACGATTCTCAGGCCCACTTTGATACTGACAACTCCGAAGATTTCATCCAAATATTTGATGCTGGTGAATTTTGATGGCAATGCTAATATCAAAATTAAGAAGCTAAACAAATTTACACCCTTTCCCCCTCAAAAGTTTCCAGCCAGGGTCATACCTTGACAGAAACTATACCTATAGTTGCCACGTTGTTCAGTTCTTAAAAGCTCTTTACTGCTGCTATTAATCCCTGTGGAAATGAATGGAATTTATGGCAGAAGGGGCAGAAGGATCTTATCGGCAAAAAGTCTCTAACCAAACCCGATTTATAATTACAAGCAGGTCTACCCTTGCAGCCATCTAAAGAATATTATTTATTAATTAAGAAATTAATTTTATCTTCTATTCAAAAGGCAATATCATGTTTCTAGATCTAATGAGCATTTTCTTTGCTACTGGCTACACTTCTATATTTCTTTGATGTCCACGTTGCCACCCTCCCACCTCTCCTCCACCTCTGGCAGGTAAATTAAACTTCTTTTTCTGTGTGCTAATCATTTCCATTTCCCTGGTACAAAGATTTCTTTCTCATTGTGTGCTTATTTTAACTACTGACATGTCTCCTTCTACTCATAAACCTCAAGATATTAGCTCTTCCTTGTGCTATCTGCTCCATTTCTCTATCCTTTTAGCTGGTCTAATAAGATTTCCAGTCTATCCATGCAATAGTTATTTTTCCTTCTCTCTCTTTCTCTCTAGAGATCTCACCCACTTCGTTTTGCCCAACTTTACAATGAACCTGCTTGCTAGTCATGTGGCCTGCTGTCTTGTCACTAAGCCTTAGTTCCTGTTTTCTTTGTAAAAAAGGATTTCTTATCACAGTTTCAACTTCACTTTGATTTCTTCCTCTTTATGATAAAACTCCCCAAAATAATTTCCTGCTCCCTGCTCATCTTAAAACAAAATGCACAAAGGAACAAGTTCAAAGATATTACAGTGGTACCTTGGGTTACAGACACTTCGGGTTACAAACTCCGCTAACCAGGAAGTGGTTGCTCCAGGTTAAGAACTTTGCTCCAGGATAAGAATGGAAATTGTGCGCCAGTGGTGCAGCAGCAGCAGGAGGCCCCATTAGCAAAAGCACTCCTCAGGTTAAGAACCATTTTAGGTTAAGAATAGACCTCTGGAATGAATTAAGTTCTTAACCTGAGGTACCACTGAAATAGGATAGATTCACCTAGAGCAGGGATGGAAATGCTCTGTGAGCCTATGGATGTTGCTGGACTCCCAAGCCCCATCAGCCCTTGCCAGCAGAGTAAATAGGAAGAGGTCATGTGACTTCCTATCCACCTACATCTGAAGGTCCACAACTTCCCCACCCCAAACTGTGATCTTATGCAGTAGGCATTAATACAAATTCTGGTTCTACAGAGCAATGTGCCAAGTGCACAATATGCTAACAATATCATTCAATGTGATTTACTTCCCTATATTAGAGCTTGTTTTCCTCTTAGTGGCTGATGTTCATCCACATCATGGACAGGAACCACATATCTTGACTGGTAGTGGCAGCTCCAGGAGTGGCAGGAGTGGTGGGCACAGGGGGCTCTGCCATGCTGATGCTGCCTGACGGCGGTGGCACAACCACTAACTGAGATGGGGCAAGATGGCAGCAACATCAAGGCTGTGTGGTCTCCCAATGTGGTATTCCTGCCCATGTGACCACACAGCTGCAACCCTGTCTCCATCCTGCCCCCTCTATCCTGATACGTGGCAGCATCACCACTGTGAGGAGGGCAAGTCGCAATGGAGGACATGACCCCGTTACTTTAGCTATCTTGCTTAACAATTGGCATTGTTCCCCTTAACATTCATTTTCCAAATATATCTTTCAGTGAGTTAAGCGGTTTTATTCAATTTATTTAGAAAAGATCTAGAGCTGGCTTCATCCAGCACGGTGCATTTCTGGACAGGACAGGAAACACCTTGCACACACACACACTTTTCAACATGGTGGGGTCACCAAGGGAAAACACTTCTGGCCTAGATTACAACTGCTGTTTCTCACTTAAAAGTTAATTAATAATAATAATAATAATAATAATAATAATAATAATAATAAAAATAAATAAATAAATAAATAATAATTTATTATTTGTACCCCACCCATCTGGCTGGGTTTCCCCAGCCACTCTGGGCAGCTTCCAACAAAGATTGAAAATACATTAAAATAACCCCTCTCAACACCCTGTAGTAATCTGTACAGTATTATGATGGACCACCCAAACCTACTATTATTATTAAAAATTGTATACTGCCGTCCATCTGTAGATCTCAGGACGGTTCACAACACAAAAATACAAGATAAAAATAACACAAAATACATGATGACAACAACAACAACAAACCAATTATCTGCTCCTGTTGTTGTTTAGTCATTTAGTCGTGTCCGACTCTTCGTGACCCCATGGACCAGAGCACGCCAGGCATGCCTGTCTTCCACTGCCTCCCACAGTTTGGTCAGACTCATGTTTGTAGCTTCGAGAACACTGTCCAACCATCTCGTCCTCTGTCGTCCCCTTCTCCTTGTGCCCTCAACCTTGTGCCTGGTATTCCAAAAATTCGAAATAACAGTAAACCAGCAGGAGTCTAATTTGGTAGACTACTCAGATGGTGTCTATAAAAAGTCTACAATCTATCTTTAAAATATAGGAATACAGGATGAGACTGGGAATTGTTACAGAATGCTCCTAGTGCACGTCTTTCTTTGGCACATGTGGATTTTAGGTGTTTTGTGAGCGTCCAAGTAAATATGCTTGCAAAAGTGATGGTCCACACTTGAATGCTTGTGAGCAGGACTGAGATAAGTGGGCTATGTGCTTGCATGCTCCTCAGAATGCCATCACAAGTGCTTCTTCCTTTCCCTGCCCCAGGGTTCAGTAGCGCACCTCGAGGCATGGGGAAGAGGCAAGGAGGCCCCAGCAGAGCATCATTCCCTTCCGAGGATGTGAATGGGACAACAACTCCCACAGTCCCTCATAGGGAGCTGTGCTACATGTGTCACTTTTACTAGGAGAAGAAAACCAGGGGCCCAATTCTTCACCAGTATTCCAAAAATCTAAAGTAAACCAGAAGGAGTCTAATTTGACAGACTACTCAGATGGTGTCTATAAAAGTCTACAATCTATCTTTAAAATATAGGAATACAGTATGAGACTGGGAATTGTTACAGAATGCCTTTCTTATGGGATGCTCTTGCTTTCTCTTGATAAGATAGAAACTTGCCTTCTTCTGAGACAGGTGGCTCACTCACCTGGCACTTTTACTTTTCTCCATGCTTCGTTTCTTGGTCTGTGGTATTTCAATGCACAGGGGCATCTCAGGGCTTGCAGATCAGTTGAAGCAGCTAATCACAGTAGTGTTAAATCCGTTTGGCTTAGATCCTCCAGGTTATATGGAAGAACCACGGCTCAGGTTCATCCTGTAGCTGTTCCAGGGAGAGATGATGTCTGAAAATCCTGGGAGCTCCTCTAGTCTGTGTAAACAATTTTGCATTGTTTATTCCATCTTGGCATGAAGTAGTATCTTATGTAGACTAAGTAACCCTTACTTTCATCGTTCCCTTAGAAGAAATACTTTATTTCCAGCAGCATTCATACTTTAATCTCCCTTGGCTTTCTTAAAGATTATTCTTTGTCTTTTTTCCTTACAATTTCTTATATTTTTTCCCCTTACCAGGAGCTGGGGAGAATTCACATTTAATTTGATTGATATGTGATTTTACTACTCGGGGGTACATTTTTTAAAAAAAAACACAACATTTTTTCAATCCATCATGTGACTCTTCTGGCAAATACAAAGTTAGATAAAACTATATTAGATAATAAGAAACTCACATTCATCATACAGACTGATTTTTCAAAACACTGAGCTCTAACAAAAGCAAGCGCTATCCATCTTTGCCTGCTCTATAAATCTTCTCCCAAACATTGCCTCTCCTGGAGTAATTTTAAATGGAATCTAGCTAATTTCTCTTTCCTATCATCGTAGTGCTCTTATTGTCATGGCAACTAATAAGTGCTCAAACTTCAGGTCAAGGTTGATTGCTGAAGATGCTGTTTTGCAACCTGCTGAGCTGCTTCCCAATAGACTTCAAGTACAGACTCTCCATCTTGTTAATGATGTATGCATTCATTAACCAATATTTGGCAATATTAGTTAATCAAGGAACACATTACCCATGATTAAAGGAGTATCTGAATGTGTAATTATTGATGTGCAGAGTCAAGCCTGTATATCTAAGTTTTATGGAAAACCTTGAGCTAGACTAGACAGACCGCTTCTAAGTACTTAAGATCTTTTCCATCCCCTCAAGGAAATAATTTGGGTTGCCTTGCCTAGCTAACTCCTAACCAAACTTCTTTCCAGGCTCTAATTTAATCCCTATCTGGCAGTCAAGCCCTGTTTGACAGTTTAACTTGAAATTCTCCACTCTAATTGGATGTTGCACCACCCAGCTATGGTTGGCTTCTGCATCTCCAGGAGGCTGACCCAAGGCCCGCCCGTCACACCTCAGCTTTTCCTGAGCCCACTTCACTCCCACTTGTTATGTGAATTGGTTACAAGAAGGGGCCAAACTGTGGGTTAAAGGAAGCACTTGCAAATGGGTCTTGGAGGCAGAATAAAGCAATTCTACAAGGACCTCTGCTTGTACCAAGACTGGGTATAATTCACAATTGCTGGGGCAATTCACTAAGCAAGTATTGATCCACTATTGGGGGGAGGGGTGTCAGTTGAGTTGACAGAACAATCTGAACCACCCTGAGACCTTTGGGTATAGGGCAGTATAGAAAACAAACAAACCACAAATAATGTTTTTTTTAAAAAAACACTTGAAAATTCAAAAAGTACATAATTATATGTTCATTAAACACGGTGAGATGTAAATAAAAGAGAGAGAAAGAAAAAGAGAAACAGAACCCACGTAGAAGGGAAAATAAAGGGGGGAAACCCAAAACTATATTTTACAAGGTTGATGTGACGTGTGTGTGTGTGCGTATGTGTAGGCTCTGCTTACTCATATTTCTTATTAATTTGAGGACAGCGATATTCATTCAATGATAAGTGGTTTCCTAACGCTGCAAAGACAGTTTCTTGGAAGATCACAAACTCAATCATAAAAGCACCTTCTAATGATCCCTTGTCATGTATCTAGTTGGTGTTTAACGGCCCCAGGAGTGGCCAAAGGAGAAAATACAGAAATAGTGCAGTGAAAACAGTCTTGTGGAACAAATTATCTTTTAATTTACTAAGCAAGAGAGATCACAAACAGATAAAGCGGTTTGTAACTGACAGAAAGAAGTTCAAGTCAATTGACTGAAAATTGAGGATAAAAGGAAGTGAGGGTGGGGGAGGACAGGACAGCAAAGGACAAAAAGAACACATCACGTTTCTTTTGGCATCTATCATTTCCAGACTGTTGGTTTTTCTACTCTGTTTAACCTGTACAGACCCAGGAAAGTACAAGATAAGATTTCCTTAGCTCTGCAATCATTCTGGCACTGGGGAAGTTTCACTCAGGTTCAGCTTTCCAATCCACAGGTAGCTCTGCTGGTGGCTGCTAAGTCTGAAGGCCAATTTGGCCTTAGCACTAACTGCAATTTTGCATTTAACTGTGCAGATTGATGAATAATAATAATAATAATAAATTATTTATATCCCGCCCTCCCCAGCCGAAGCTGGGCTCAGAGCAGCTAACAACATGAAGATGCAAATGGCATCAGCTGAGAAGCTTATCTCTGTTGGGATCAGAACAAGTGTGGTAGGAGAATTTAATCCATTCCTCCCCTGTTGCGATCCTGAAGGAAATTGCTCCCCTGCAGCTGGAATTTGCACTGAAAGCAAATCCCTTGTTGGTACCAGCAGAGGATTTTCTTCCAAGGCAAATAACCAGCTTCAGAGGAACAGTTTACCTCAGGGACCACACCTGGAACAGAAAAGGTTAATTTTAGGGTTTCTTTTTTTGGGGGGGGGACACAAAGTTCTTCAGCTTTTTTGTAGTTTTGGGTTGCCATACGCCTGGATTTCCCCAGTTATTTCAGTGATTTCCGGCCCAGACACTGTTTTCAACTGCCATATTCTGGCAACCCTGGTTAATTTACTCCTCCACACCCACTGTGAGCCTCATAATTATCAGCTAGTGCTCTCTGTCTTTTCAAAAACTTGAATGTTAAAAACAAGGATGCATTTTATGTTGTATCATATTTGGCCCATATTAGCTTCAGTTAAACTTAGCCTAAATGATAAATCCATAGGGATTAAAGTGATGTATTTATGGGAAGGGCTAATGTGCAAATTTAGAGCAATTTCATGCTCTAAATTTTACGCATGAACAGTGAACGTGTGGGTGGGGACAGGGGTACAGATGCAAGCCGAACCCACAACATCCTCTTAGGTGTTGCATCTGCCTCAGTTTGTGACCTTTCCTGTGTGGTGCTGGAAAGGTCTGCAGGGCAACCACACGTGTTTCCTTCCATATGTAGAGAGCTCTACTCTCTTTTATGTGAATGTAAATAGAAGCTGCCTGCAGACCTCCCCTCATTTGCGCTGCGTGTCCCTGACCTTTCTTGTGTTGTGCAAGAATGGTCTGCAAGGTGTTTACTCAACACTGGAGAGGATGAGGACTGATGTGTTCATGCTTGTGCATGCGGTGTAGATCACGACATAAGGGGTGGATCCTGCTTGAGCACCCCTGCCCCAGTCCACATTTCCTGCATTCATCTGAAGACATCTAAAGTTTGATGCTAAAATGTGGGTGTCACCGAGTTTAAAAAGAATCTCTGAGAGCCCCCCTGACCTAGTTGAGTAGCCTTGGGATTGCAAGCTAGCCACATGCCCCCATACTGAAGCAAAGTTCTCTGGCCATAACTGGATAGAATACCCTTTTTTTTAAAAAAAAGGTGGCCATTTAATTCTGTATATTTGTTGCAAAGTTATATTTATACCCCTTTTAAGGACCTGAAACACTGCGGGCAAATTCTCTGCCCCCACCAGGGGTACATCGTACCATGGTTTATTTCAGGGGTCAGCAAACTTTTTCAACAGGGGGCCGGTCCACTGTCCCTAAGACCTTGTGGGGGGCCGGACTATATTTTTTTGGGGGGATGAACGAATTCCTATGCCCCACAAATAACCCAGAAATGCATTTTAAATAAAAGGACACATTCTACTCATGTGAAAACATGCTGATTCCCGGACCATCCACGGGCCGGATTTAGAAGGCAATTGGGCCGGATCCGGGCCCCGGGCCTTAGTTTGCCTACCCATGGTTTATTTCATGAATCCCAGGACTGAAACTGAAACTAGAGTCCCGTCTCCTCCATAAAAGGTTGTGGAGTTCTTTGCAGAATCCCTTGACTTTTCGCTCTTCAGCTATCTGTTGGAGGGAACCAACTCCACAGAGACAGGATATTTACACTGCACTCTTAAACACACTTAGCTGGCAATAACGCTCTCTAAACTCAAGGAGACTTCTGAACAGACAGACATAGGATCATGTTATTAAAGATGGTAAAGGTAAAGATAAAGGATCCCTGGATGATTAAGTCCAGTCAAAGGTGATTATGGGGTTGCGGCACTCATCTCACTTTCAGCCGAGGGAGCCGGCATTTGTCCACAGACAGCTTTCCAAGTCATGTGGCCAGAATGACTAAACCACTTCTGGTGCAATGGAAAACCGTGACAGAAACCAGAGTGCACGGAAACACCGTTTACCTTCCGGTGGCAGCAGTACCTATTTATCTACTTGCACTGGCATGCTTTCAAACTGCTAGGTTGGCAGGAGCTGGGAGAGAGCAATGTAAGCTCACCCCGTCAAGGAATTTGAACCACCAACCTTCTGATTAGCAAGCCCAAGAGGCTCAGTGGTTTAGACCACAGTGCCACCAGCATCATCATCATTGTTATTACTATTACTACTGTTGTTGTTGTTGTTGTTATAAATGGCACCACATTGGCCACCCCATACACGTATGCGCAGACATACCTTCTGTTTTTCTCTCCATCATGAGCTGTTGGTAGGTGTTTCTCTTGTGAATGCAATACAATATTTTGCAAGTGCTACAAAAACTAAATGGGACTTGGGGATCCCTTGTTCTAGGGTGGTTGCTCCGGGCTCTGCTGCAGCTCCTTCCAAAGCTACATGAAGAGTGTTATGATAAAATTGCAGGTTGCAATGCCGACAAGCTAATGCCAACTGGAAGAAAACAAAACCCAGCAAACCTCCGTCCAACTGTGCGGGGGAAATATGTTGCAAAAATAACATCTGGCAACTTGATCTGGCAGGTGTTATGCATGGAGGCGCAAAGCCTTCCAGCTGCTCTACCTCCTGAAATACAACTCAAGACAATTTCTAGCACTGTTTTTAAAAGAAAGGTTTGGGTAGTAATTTATGACCCAAGTGTAACTGGAGGGATACTAATTCTGAGATATCCAGGTCATACTTTATTTCCCTCAGGAAAGCAAAACTACTTGGGACAGTTTTATGGTATGTCATAATAACTAGTCCACAACGTTAATACATTCCACCTGGCTGGCTTCAAATCATGTTCAATGCTTCATGATTGCATCTTTACACTGGGTTAAGCCTATTGTTGGCGTCAGAAGGCATACAAAACAGTAAGTAGATTTACCTGGGACTTTTTGTTGTGCTGTACTTCACCTAGATCCATTTTTCCTATTAGTGGGCAGCACCTTATGTGGACGTCAGTCAACTTGACACCCATAATAATACTTGATACTTTGTTAAATTCTCACACGATCCTTTGATTTCTTGCCAATGTCATTCTTCAGACACCCCACCATAATATTCTTTGCTTGTTTCTGTAACTGCCATTAAGTGGGACTGACTACATATCGTCTGCACTGTGCTTGCAACAGTTAGGACTCAATTGATATTCAAGTGTTTTGCTTTCTTTCACTGCATTGAAATATCGCTATTTAACGATGACATGTGGGAACTGGCTCGTTTTTATTTTTTACTTTACAAAAGCAGGGGACCACCATGCTAATTTACACTGCCTTAACACAAGTTCTTTTTTTTTAACTTCACTCTATTTCTTTGCCATGATAAGTTATTAAAAGCAAGCAAACTCATTTCTCTTCTGCGGCAGAGAAACATGTTAATGTGAAGCTATACTTCATTTGGCTTAAAAGATAATAACAAACTCACTTCCAAAGCATTTTCTTTCTTTATGTCACAAAACTTCTACGCTCTAACTATGTCATCTTTGTCCTAAAACATCATTAGGCATCCGAGGTAACAGAAAGAAAAGAAAGAAAGAAAGATGAATTGTTGGGCTGGCATTTTTTGGTGGATGTGTGACTATAAACTAGATTGATTATTCTCAGTAGCAGAAGGCATGGTGTGGCATTCACCTGACCTCCTGACAGCTGAGTCACTGCTGCTGACCAGGAATGAGAGCGGGGAGGTTTAGATAGCAAGGAGCTCAACATAGTGAAAACACACTGCAGGCCACCAGATTGGCTCTACCAGTGTGTTTGCACCATCCTGACTTCCCTGCTGCCTCCTCACTCCCCATCTGCTTCCGGGTCAGCAGCAGTGACTCAGCTGTCAGTAGCACCGCCACATCATCATGTCATCTAATACTGGTTCTTCTATGAATGCTAATATGTGAATACAGCCTCTGACCTCGTTGATATACGTAGTTGCTATTTTAGGCCTTCATTCTACACACATCTAACTGACCCGATCAGTGACCACAGAGATTTTAGCAAGGCTTTAAGATTTATTTTGGGTGTGTATTGGGAGCTAGGTCTAAAACAGTGGCAGAAAACTTAATTAGCATGGCTTTCTGAGTTGCCTTGTGCTGCCTGACTGAAATAGGACAAAATCCCCCTTGAATTTCCACACAAGTCTTTTTTAAAAAAAAAATGCTATTGCAGGGCAAAAGAAGGATCAGTAGTAGCATATTATCTCAAGAACACACTGTAATAATGTCAGATAGAAGTAATGAATTAAACAAATGCATTGGTGACAGCCGTACAAAACCCCAGTGGAATGCTGAAAAGTCGTGACTGTATTTAGAGCCTCAGAGAACCCCTCTGCAAAATGCTCATTGTCTTATCCAACTTCTGCTTGCTTTCTGTGAAATTGTTTGGCTAAACTGCGAGAGGCAGTGGAAGACAGGAGGGCCTGGCGTGCTCTGGTCCATGGGGTCACGAAGAGTCGGACACGACTAAACGACTAAACAGCAACAACAAAATTTCACTCAAAGCGAAGCCTCCAGTTTGGAGTTGTGAGGTTTCTCTTTTGAGAACAGATCTTGTTCCAGGCCTCTTCAGCTTTGTCCATCACTTGAGCAGTTTTTTGGGGGAGCTGAATCCCAACATACATTGGAAGAAGGTGTGTTGGAGGTATTTATTCATCTATTTTATTTATAAAAGGTAAAGGTAAAGGGACCCCTGACCACAAGTTCCAGTTGTGACCGACTCTGGGGTTGCAGCGCTCATCTCGCTTTATTGGCCAAGGGAGCTGGCGTACAGCTTCCGGGTCATGTGGCCAGCATGACTAAGCCGCTTCTGGCGAACCAGAGCAGCACACGGAAATGTCGTTTATCTTCCCGCCAGAGCGGTACCTATTTATCTACTTGCACTTTGAGGTGCTTTCGAACTGCTAGGTTCGCAGGAGCAGGGACCGAGCAACGGGAGCTCACCCCGTCGCGGGGATTCGAAGCGCCGACCTTCTGATTGGCAAGTCCTAGGCTCTGTGGTTTAACCCACAGCGCCACCTGTGTCCCATTTTATTTATATGCTGCCCTTTATCCAAGGTAGTGGAGTTGCACAGACAAACCTTGGCCCTGCTCTGACCATGCCCCCTCCCAACATAACCCAATACCAGGGTCCTGAATGTCCCGCTCCTGCCACACAATGCTTTGGATTACTTAAAAAGGTAAAGGTAACGGACCCCTGACAGTTAAGTCCAGTCGTGAATGACTCCAGGGTTGCGGTGCTCATCTCACTTTACAGGCCGAGGGAGCCGGCGTTTGTCCGCTTTCGCAGACAGTTTTTCTGGGTCATGTGGCCAGCATGACTAAGTCGCTTCTGGCGAAACCAGAGCAGCACATGGAAACGCCATTTACCTTCCCACTGGAGCGGTACCTATTTGTCTACTTGCACTTTGGCGTGCTTTTGAACTGCTAGGTTGGCAGGAGCTGGACTACTTACACCAGTGTAAATTCCACCAGCCTAAGTTCCACCAGCTGAGCCCTGATTGAGCTAGGGTCAGAAACTTATGCCACCATATTTCTGGCTCATTCAGGGTGAGGGGCTTACATAGGCATAGAATAAATCAGGAAAGCACAAGATCCACCCAATCTAAACTCTCTCATACTCGAAAATCTTGGCTTTGCATTGTGCTGCTGTCCACAGCTATATGGCTGAGAACCACCACTCTGTTTTCACACTGTCTTTGGGAAAGGTTTGTGCAATCAATCTGTTTAATGTGCAAAGCAATGTAGAAAAAGAAACAAAAATGTGTTGATACTGTTCCAGTGCTTAGGCATTTCAATATTCAGTGTTGGCACACAATTGAGATTATCCCAGAATACAATATTTAGTCACAGATCCCAAAATACATTAATATGAGGATTAACTGAGTTTTCCCAGGCTATTTTCAGAATTTCAGAGGGCTAACTTAATTTCTAATTTATTCCTTAAAAGAGCCTTTGTCCACAGGCAAAAATGATCTAAAATGAACTTACGTGGGGAATGAAGGAGGGAGAATCAAGTTTTGTTTTTGCTTTTTAAAAAATAATAATAAACATCATCATTTTTTTTGGAGGGAGGCATTTTGAAATGATTTTAAAATAGAGCAGATTTTCATCTATGTTTGGATGGCTCCTAACTCTCTAAACTCTTATTGTAGAAAGAGACGGCTAAAGAGGTCATACTGGTATAACAAACAGGCTCATGGATGTCCCTTTCACGGGCCTTTGCATAACTAACATGATGGCCAAAGACAGATGAAGTATTGTCATAGGAGCTAATGGTTGGAGAGCCTTCTGGAAGACAATATGTCATTCTCCCCACTCCATTCCCTGGCTGGAAGTGATGTCATCAAAGGGGGTCTCTGTGTGAAAGAGGATGAATGACTGGTAGTGTTGGAGCTTGAGTCTGAAAGAGACAATTAGGCCTCACTTGCTCTATGGTACTGTTGGTTTTCCATATACAGTGGTACTTCAGGTTACAAATGCTTCAGGTAACAGAGTCCGCTAACTCAGAAATAGTACCTCGGGTTAAGAACTTTGCTTCAGGATGAGAACAGAAATCGCATGGCGGTGGGACGGCGGCAGCAGGAGGCCCCATTAGCTAAAGTGGTACCTCAGGTTAAAAATGGTTCTTAACCCGAGGTACCACTGTGTGTGTGTGTGTGTGTGTGTGTGTGTGTGTGTGTGTATACAGTGGTACCTCTGGTTACATACGCTTCAGGTTACAGACTCCGCTAACCCAAAAATAGTGCTTCAGGTTAAGAACTTTGCTGCAGGATGAGAACAGAAATCGGGCTCTGGTGGTGTGGCAGCAGCAGGAGGCCCCATTAGCTAAAGTGGTGCTTCAGGTTAAGAACAGTTTCAGGTTAAGTACGGACCTCTGGAACGAATTAAGTACTTAACCTGAGGTACCACTGTATATATATATGGGACAACCTATTAAAACTACTCTGCCTGACAGTGAAAATGTCTGCTAAACCTTCTTCCATGTGTCTTAATCACATGGCAGAAAGTCAAGGAAGAAGGGGGGGACTAGACTGCATAGGAAAGTGAATTCCACTCTTTGGACATATCTACAGAGAAAACCCTCTCCTGCATCCCAACCAATCATTCCCCCACGACCGTCATCCCTCCTCTGAAGATCCTCTGAAGTGAAGTCTCCTCTAAATGGAGCAAAACATAAAAACAAAATTGTAGCTCTGTATAGCATTTCAAAGTAGCAGGTGCCGCCGCCAAGATTTGCTGTGGCCATCATGATACATGGCGGAAAATTCATTTCAGTTGCACCATTAAAGATATTGAATCTTTTTATCCCTAATTCAACAAATCCTGGCTGATTCCCCTGGGAAGGAGATAACAGAGTAGCGTGTGAACCTAGAACATGGCACCTAATTAAAAGACCACTGCTCTCAATTCAGCATTAACTGTCAACTTCAGAATGTAATTGGAACCACTGCAGTGTTGACATTATTAAACACAGGCACTTTGATTCCTTTCCTCTGCCCGCTTTAAAAATCAAAGAGAAGAATTAAGCACTAAGACCCACATGAATGTTTAATAGATGGTGTTAATGGTCTTAAGAGTCAGCCAAGAAAAGTGCAGATTGCTCTGAGATGTCAATCCAGGCACCGTTATTTAACAGGCTTATTCACAATAAACAGGTTTATTGTTATTTAGCATATTTATTAAGGATCGGGAACAGAGTGACATAGGTGCCATAATGGGGATAAGTCATAATGTGGACTGCATAGCCAGTTGTAAAAAGCTCAGGAAAGATGAGGAAAAACTAAGGGAGCAAGGAACGGTCAAACAGACAAGTTGGATTCGGGGACTGTATATTTTTAGGGAAGGTTGGGGCAGAGGAAGGATAGGAAAGAGAAGACCAAACCTGCAGGTTCAAGGTACACCCTTAAGGTGAAGCACAGCTAATGAGTTCTAAACTGATGGTGTTGACCAACCTGTAAATAGTCACTGTATTTTTCGCTCTATAAGACGCACCAGACCACAAGACGCACCTAGGTTTTGGAGGAGGAAAACAAGAAAAAATATATTCTGAATCTCAGAAGCCAGAACAGCAAGAGGCATCGCTGCACAGTGAAAGCAGCAATCCCTCTTGCTGTTCTGGCTTCTGTGATAGCTGTGCCCCCTGCATTCACTCCATAAGACACACACACATTTCCCCTTAATTTTTAGGAGGGAAAAAGTGAGTCTTATAGAGCAAAAAATACGGTATTTCCTGTTTTCTTCTGGAGGGTCTGCTGGGAGACTGAAACATAAGAGAGAGCACATTGCCTCAATTGTTGCAGGTGTTCTTTCACTGAATACATACCTGGAGACTTCAGGTAGTCTTTGTGTCAGCCAATAAGAAGTCATGAAGTGACATATCTTTGAGATGAACCATACAGAAAAGCTAAGGGCTGCATCTCACATGGTTGCAATCTCAGTCTACAGACTAGGGTGGCTTGACCTAGGCAGACCATTTTAATGGTCAGTTTTTTAAAGGTATTTCACCAGTTGTGCTGAGCCTGGGCTCAACATTTGTCATTTCAAGTTAGGGATGGAGTTTGATGGTTCATTTTTTATCATGTTATTGTAACAGAAACCCAGTTGCCGTTCGCATTTCATTAAACTTACACGATCTCCACCTGATTACCATTTGTGAAAATAGTGTTATTGTTTTCAATCCTCCTGACAGTGCTGCACTTACCCAGCGGATATGGCTCTTTAAAATACTGCCAATTTTAATCACTGCCCGTCACCAAGTTCCTATTTGCATGCCTCCAGGGGTACTGTAATTCGTATGTCTTGTGGTGTCACATTAATGAGGCTTGCATATGCAGCTGAACAAAGTACTCTGTTTTACTGTTTTGCTATTACTCAATCACTACGCCTCAATTGTTTAATAGACATGATAATATCATGACAGTCCCTGCTTCCATGGACAGTCCTGGATTAACAGAAGTCATCCCAGCTTCTGATTTGATCCTGGAATGTCCCAGTTTTCCTTAAAGGTAAAGGGACCCCTGACCGTTAGGTCCAGTCGCGGACGACTCTGAGGCTGTGGCACTCATCTCGCTTTATTGGCCAAGGGAGCCGGCATACAGCTTCTGGGTCATGTAGCCAGCATGACTAAGCTGCTTCTGGCGGACCAGAGCAGCACATGGAAATGCTGTTTACCTTCCTGCCGGAGCGGTACCTATTTATCTACTTGCACTTTGACATGCTTTTGAACTGCTAGGTTGGCAGGAGCGGGGACCTAGCAACGGGAGCTCACCCCGTTGCGGGGATTCGAACCGGCGACCTTCTGATCAGCAAGCCCTAGACTCTGTGGTTTAGACATCATTAGAATGTCCCCATTTTCATGGTAGAAATGTTGAACGGTATGGAGTTATGTGACCTCCAAGCCAAGGAGATAAGTAACTATACAACCTTTAGAAGACATCTGAAGGCAGCCCTGTATAGTGATGTTCTTTAATATTTAATGTTTTATTATGTTTTATATATGTTGGAAGCTGCCCAGTCAGATGGGTGGGGTATAGATAGATAGATAGATAGATAGATAGATAATTGAATAGAATGTCTCTATTTTCATTGGAAAATTGTTGGAGTGTATAGCATACTGGTGTTCATTAGGAACCAAGGTGAAATTTTGAGAGGAATCCAGATCAGTTTGTTTCTGAACTTGGGGACTTTGTTTCTGAAGCATCACCATACCCAATTACAAACTTATTCTGCATCCCCATAAGAGTAACACAGAGGTATCTTCCAAGGTTGTTCTGAAGGCAAGCACAATAATTGTTCCAGATGAATGACAGAAATCCTGGAAACAGGTTTCCACATCTGAATTTCCCTGGCCGGAGGCAGTTTCAAAATATATCTTTGTGATGACTGTATTGAGTGAAGTGGCCATGAGATTATGCTGTTAACCATGGATGAAACAGCCTTAGATGGACAGCTTCAATTTCATGATGGCATTTATAAAATGTAAAACATCAACTGAAAACACTAGCCATAGACCCACATTAATGTTTTCATTTTCTAGCATGTGGTTTATATTTAAAGAGCTTGGTTTTTTTTTAAGTGCAGTCAGTTGACTTCTTTTATTCAAAATATATCCCCCACCCATTTGTGTGTGTGTGATGAACTGAAAAATTATTACAAGTCTGTCACAGACTTTACAAAAGGAACCTGCTTTGTGGCATTTAGAAAGAGAAAAAAATATCACCCAGAGATGATTACTGAAGGTATAAGGCTAGAATCAAGCCATCTCTTGTCAGATCATTTCAAAACGTATTTCACAGTGGCAAAGGGCACTTTCCGCAGGCTTAATGGTACATTATGCAAGAATAAATAATTTAAGGCGAAAATTGGCATTCTATTCTGTAACTAGAAAGTAAAGTTTGAAATGCTGCTAATTTAGACATTAGAGACATGACGGATTCATAAAATAATACTGAAGCGAGTTGGGATGGGAATGTGTTATCTAGATAGCGAGACTTTTCTGATGAAGCCCATTAAAAAAAGGCAGAGCCTATGGGGAGTTTTCTCATTATTATTCCTTTATTTCATATACCAACCCCCTTTTCTTGTTTAAAGATGTTCATTGGGTTTGAGTGAAGATGATTGCGTTCCACTTTTGCTAGCCTCTTTATCTCCCAAACCTATCCCTCATTCTGTGCCGGCGTAATTTAGTCAAGGTCTGTTCTCATGTGAATGAGCTTAGACTCCCTCCCAATGCTTTGTCTAAATAACTCACATGGGGACTGGCAACTTCTTCAATGGGAGGAAATACTTACTGACCTCCAGTCCCCTCTTTAATTAAAAGACATTAATTTTTAGATCTTGGTGGCAGATGGAACAAGCTGGGCTGTTGTTAGGCCAGAAATATATTAATAGACTTGGGGCCTGCTGGTTTACTTTTCTGCCTGAATTAAATCCCACAGCTAAGCAAAGCCTAGTTGTTGATTTGGTCTTGTATTAACATGTTTAGTGCTTTAGAAGCCTTTCTTGGCAGGAAAAAAACCCGGGAGGGACTCCTCAGATTATCACTATCAGTGACTGGGAAATTGCCTGGTTTCTTATTTTAAGTAATGGTGATTTATAGTACACTTCTGTGGTCTGCTAAGAAGGAATCATAGGAAGGGGGAAAACATTCCTCTTCAAAGTTGGAGGCAGAACTCCTACACTGGAGAAGAGATGTGACGTAAGGTTCCTCACTGAAGCTTCTGTACTCCTTGCCCAACTAATGTTGCAAGTCTAGCATTTGTATGGCAAATAACAGGTGTGTCCTGGGCGCAATTGGGAAATGTGCCAGGGTGGACCACAAAATGGGCAAGCCCTAAACCAGGAAGAAATTTAGACATGCTTCCATTAGGAGGTAAAATGTGTTGTCATTTATGAATCACTTTCCATGAGGACTCCTGAAGCATTTTGCAATATAATAGAAGCATATCAACAACCTCAGATATGCAGATGACACAACCTTGATGGCAGAAAGTGAGGAGGAATTAAAGAACCTTTTAATGAGGGTGAAAGAGGAGAGTGCAAAATATGGTCTGAAGCTCAACATAAAAAAAACTAAGATCATAGCCACTGGACCCATCACCTCCTGGCAAATAGAAGGGGAAGAAATGGAGGCAGTGAGAGATTTTACTTTCTTGGGTTCCATGATCACTGCAGATGGGGACAGCAGTCACAAAATTAAAAGACGCCTGCTTCTTGGGAGAAAAGCAATGACAAACCTAGACAGCATCTTAAAAAGCAGAGACATCACCTTGCCAACAAAGGTCCGTATAGTTAAAGCTATGGTTTTCCCAGTAGTGATGTATGGAAGTGAGAGCTGGACCATAAAGAAGGCTGATCGCCGAAGAATTGATGCTTTTGAATTATGGTGCTGGAGGAGACTCTTGAGAGTCCCATGGACTGCAAGAAGATCAAACCTATCCATTCTGAAGGAAATCAGCCCTGAGTGCTCACTGGAAGGACAGATCCTGAAGCTGGGGCTCCAATACTTTGGCCACCTCATGAGAAGAGAAGACTCCTTGGAAAAGACCCTGAAGAAGGAGAAGGGGCCGACAGAGGACCAGATGGTTGGACAGTGTTCTCGAAGCTACCAGCATGAGTTTGACCAAACTGCGGGAGGCAGTGGAAGACAGGAGTGCCTGGCATGCTCTGGTCCATGGGGTCACAAAGAGTCGGACATGACTAAATGACTAAACAACAACAGAAGCCTATGTTTAAAATTTACACACACACTTGTATATAAAAAACAATACACACACATACACATATATATGCACATACACAAAAGTGCACACATAAAACCAGTTCAAATCTGATGCAGATGTCAACTGGGATAAAGATCTCCATTTCAAAGGCTTGCTGAAAGAAGACCATCTTTAGCAGGTGCCAGGGGGCAGGGAAGGTGCCCATATGTTACGTGGTGATGGCAGTAGAAGTGGTAACAACAAAACAACAACAGCAAGGAAATGGAAGAACTGAGGATGGTTTCCCAGCCCTCACTTCTGCCCTGCCTGCTGTGCTGGAATTGTGTTGGGAAGTGGAGGCACTCTGGTCAAGAGAAATAAGCTAAAGCAGAAACAATAGTTTCTTTTCTGGTTTTAAGAAAGCACCTTAGGCTAAATGCAGTAATGTTTGCTTGCAAGCTGCTAGCAGTTGCATCTCTGAACAGCTTGTTCCAGGTAACATCAGGACACTTGCTTAACCACAAGGTAAGAGATCAAGCTTGTGGGTGAGCTAGGCATTAAGTAGATTGTGCTAATGACAAGTTAGAAGAACAAAAGAAGTTAGGGAAAACTAAGTGGGAGCAGAGAGGAGTAATGGAAAGTCCCCTGAATGCATAGGTAAGGTTACTTATAACTACTACAAGTTGGGGGGTGAGGACATTTGCCATGGGGTGAAATGGGGGCTGCTAGAATAAGTGGCGCAGCTATCAGGCTGCTTGTAGAGAACTATGAAAGTATCTGCTTAACCTGGCTATTTCTGCACCATGAGGTGAATGAGACATCAGTCTTTACAAGAATAAATCATTTTCTTGCTTTGCTACTTATTGCCTGGTTATAGTTTTCCACTACACAACAAATGTCAAAGCGGAGAGTTCCACAACATTGCTCAAGTCAATGAGCGCTTTGAATCTGATGATTAAACCACCTCCACCTTACTTCACCTTATGCCTGCAGCCTTTAGTGTTCAACTATACAGTGGTACCTCTGGTTGTGGACAGGATCCGTTCCAGAGGTATGGCTGGATCCTGAGGTTTTCACAACTGAAGAGACCGCTTCTGCACACACACGGCAAAAACCCAGAAAAATACTTCCGGGTTTGCTGCTTACGTATCCCGAAGTTTCCGTAAGCGGAGGTACCACTGTACAGTGGTACCTTGGGTTAAGAACTTAATTCGTTCCAGAGGTCTGTTCTTAACCTGAAACTGTTCTTAACCTGAGGTACCACTTTAGCTAATGGGGCCTCCTGCTGCCACCGAGCCGCTGGCGTGCAATTTCTGTTCTCATCCTGAGGTAAAGTTCTTAACCCGAGGTACTATTTCTGGGTTAGAAGAGTCTGTAACCTGAAGCGTCTGTAACCTGAAGTTTCTTTAATCCGAGGTACCACTGTGTCTTGATTGCTTTGAATGGCTTTTAAAACAAACAAACAAACAAGCAAGCAAACAAAAAACAGCAACAACAACAACTCCGGGTATTGTATTCCTTTCTCATGGTTAGCTGCCTTGAAGTTTTTGGAAAGATGGGATATAAATGTTTTAGGTAAGTAAATAATAAATGAAATAAAGAACTGGGGTCGGCTTGTTCCGAGGCTCTTCACCTCATCAAGAAGGTGGCCCAGCTTGGAAGGTGGTGGGGAAGACTTATTCAGCAACAGCAGAATCCGAGTGGGCCTTGAAGGCTGCACACGCCTCCCAAGAGCAGTGTTGTCAAAATCTCCCTGCAAAGGTATTGACATTTTTATGTATTCACTCTGATTTGAGCTGTTAGGTCTGCTGTGCTCTTGTACGAAAGCCTGCGGCAGGCGAATTCCCCCCTCTCTTCTCCTCCAACCTGTGTTGAATTGCATAATTTATTCAAACAGGGACTTGCCCTATTCGGGGGTTCAGATTACTTATGTGCAAACACTCACACCAGGGAGGGTGTGTGTGTTGCCAGTTGGAAACATTTAACATGAAGAATACTGAAAGACAGCAAGGGAAAGGCTCTCTTAGCATAAACGGCTATATCCCCATATCTCCACTAAGACTACCAGACACATTGTACAGGGAAAAATATGGCTGCCAGCATAAGTAAATGGGAACAGCCATCTTGTTATCTGTAAAATTCCTAGGAACAGACTGCAGACCTGCCAAGTGTCCCTATTTTCAAGGGACAGTCTCGAATTTACAGAAGCCATCCTGGTTTCTGATTTGTTCCTGGAAAGTCCCACTTTTCCTTAGGACATATCTATTTTCATTGGAGAAATGTTGGAGGGCATAGAGTTATGTGACCCCCGAGCCAAGGAAATAAGTAACTATACAACCTTTAGAAGACATCTGAAGACAGTACAGGGAAGCTTTAAAAAAATGTTGCATGTTTTCTTATGTTTTTATATATGTTGGAAGTTGCGTAGTTGCTGGGGCAACCCAGTTGGGTGGGGTATAATTACGATTGTGGTGGTAGTGGTGGAATAGGACTCCCCTATTAACATTAGAGAAATATTGGAGGGTGTGGGAACATAAAGAAGAAAGGTGGACCATAAAGAAGGCTGATCGCCAAAGAATTGATGCTTTTGAATTATGGTGCTGGAGGAGACTCTTGAGCGTCCCATGGACTGCAAGAAGATCCAACCTATCCATTCTGAAGAAAATCAGCCCTGAGTGCTCACTGGAAGGACAGATCCTGAAGCTGAGGCTCCAATACTTTGGCCACCTCATGAGAAGAGAAGACTCCCTGGAAAAGACCCTGGTGCTGGGAAAGATGGAGGGCACAAGGAGAAGGGGACGACAGAGGAGATGGTTGGACAGCGTTCTCGAAGTTACGAACATGAGTTTGAGCAATCTGCGGGAGGCAGTGGAAGACAGGAGTGCCTGGCGTGCTCTGGTCCATGGGGTCACGAAGAGTCGGACACGATTAAACAACAACAACAACTTGGGACTGTACACTACAGCATACAGTCACTTTCTAGTGTATCTTGAAAGAGATTTTTATTTATTTTTTACTGGGTGGCCATGGAGCTGCTCTAAGCAGCTTAACATCTTGAAAGGAAGAAAGAGGTAGCCCTCTGACCACCTCATAAGCACAGTTAATGTGCGTCAGCTATTGATCATGCATCTCACCCTGAAGATTTGCATTCTAATCTGTGCATGGCTCAGGGATGGGGAGGGATGCGATCGTTTGCTCCAAAATACAGAGCAGAGTGGAATCCTCCCCAACCCTAAACAATGGAATCACATTTCACAAAGGGAAAACATGAGAAACTGAAGGGCCCGTTTCAGCACAACAATAGTGGAAAGTGGGGGTCATATCCTTCTGCAATTTTTCTTTTTCTGGGATTTACAGCTAACTAACTGCTCCCCTTTTGGCTTCTTCACCACATAGATCCATTAGCTCAAAAGTGGGGAACCTTAGGACTGAATATGCACACCCTCCAGGTGAAACCTGGACTGCCATTTTCCAGGACCACACTCCTGCATGAGTCATGTGACCCGTGTGTGAGATAGTAACCCTGAAAAAGCACTTTTGGGGGGCACAGCACCCAAAACCGCACACTATTGGGTAGTGTGTGAGATCATGCCCCCCCCCAGCTCTTCTTACAGGGTGAGTGCACGTCTTTTTTTCTTTTTTCTTTTTTAATGGGTTTCTGGCTGCCGCCGCCTGTTATATTGTGCTTGTATTCTGCTCTTATGTACAGTAATTGTATCTGCATTTGCAACATTCCTAATCTTGGTCTATAGACTGCTGCAGCAGGTTAAACAACCTGTGTTTTGGGCATTGCTTTTAAGAACGTGATTTCAGTCAGTCTATGTCAAAAGCCACAGTAGGACATCAACCTGCTCCTTGAACTACAGCAATAGTTCAAAGGTCTAGTAGTCAGACCAGTATTAAAATAAATGAAAATGTGTTTTAGAAATCCCAATATTTATGGAAACATCCATATCAGGAGGGCTCAGTGTGCCACTCAGCAAATTACTACTTTTTAGTTCAAAATCAAACGGCATATTTTTAAGGTCTCTGGGAAATGTCTAAAGCAAACTTCAAAACTAAAAAACAAAGTGCGAGACTGGCTTCATTATTTTCAGATAATGGAGGCATTTAAATTGGACAAGAAAATTGGCTTCCAGGTGGAAAAATCAAAATTAGAAACTGAACTGTTAGAACCCAAAACTAAGAATTTGTCAAGAATGTATAACTTGCTGCTGAAATGGAACACTCAGGATGAAACGGTAAAATCGGCCATGATTAAATGGGCACAAGACGTTGGACACAACATTATGTTCGCTGACTGGGAACAGTTATGGACCACAGGTATGAAATTTACGGCATGTAATGCCTTAAGAGAGAATATTATGAAAATGATATACAGGTGGTACATAACTCCAGTCAAGCTTGCAAAAATCTATCATTTGCCCGATAATAAATGTTGGAAATGTAAAGAAACTGAAGGTACATTTTTTCACCTCTGGTGGACGTGCCCAAAGATTAAGGCTTTCTGGGAAATGATATATAATGAATTAAAAAAGGTATTCAAATATACCTTCCCCAAGAAACCAGAGGCCTTTCTCTTGGGCATAGTCGGCCAAATGGTGTTAAAAAGGGATAGAACTTTCTTTATGTACGCAACAACAGCAGCAAGAATACTCATTGCAAAGTATTGGAAGACACAAGAGCTTCCCACACTGGAGGAATGGCAGATGAAATTGATGGACTATATGGAACTGGCGGAAATGACTGGCAGAATCCGTGACCAGGGAGAAGAGTCGGTGGAGGAAGATTGGAAGAAATTCAAAGACTATCTGCAGAAACATTGCAAAATTAAAGAATGTTAGAGTGATGTTGGATTAAAAATAAGTGGCTTCCAGCTGTTTAGGATTTAAAACTATGGATAGATTAATTGGTTTTTAAAAGGTAAAATTTTAATGTTATACTATTTTAAGAGTTAAGATTGGGATTAAAAAAAGAGGGAAAGAAATTGCTGGACAAACAATTTGAACTGGAATACAAAAGAGGGAGGTACGAGGAGGTCCAGAAAATAAGTAAATTTAAAGGTGGAGACGAAAAGATGATATTGTTTTTAATTGTTCTACTTTCTTTTTTGTCTTATGTTTTCTTGTTTCTTTATTTCTTTTTTTTCTTTTAGATTATGTATTGTATATTTTGAATTGTGTATTTCTTTTTTATGTTTTATGCTTAATCTTTTATTGAAACTTTAATAAATATCATTTAAAAAAAAAAAGCAAACTTCAGACTTCATTTGGGCTGCTTTCTTTCAGTATCAGCATCATGATTGTTATGGCTAAGTTAGTTTTCCCCTTGGAAACACCTTACCCTTAGGCACATTGGTTTTTCAGGAAGGAGTGTGCTAGATTTCAATGAAATTAGTGAGTATTTCACTAATACAATAGAAAGGATGTTGCCTCTTACAAATGTTGGCCTTTCACAAATATAGCCTTGCATGTGGCTACAACAGTTACTTTTAAAAAGCTCCCATTGGTGTAGGGGAAAGTATCATAGAGTTGGAAGGGACCCCACAGGTCATCTAGTCTAACCCCCTCTAATGTGGGAATCTCAACCAAGGCATTCATGAGACATGGCCATCCAACTTTTGCTTAAAAACTTCCAAGTAAGGAGAGTCCACAACTTCCTGAGGGAGTCCATTCCACTGTCAAACAACTCTTACTGTCAGAAAGTTCTTCCTGATATTTAGTTGGAATCTCTTTTCCTTGTAACTTGAATCCGTTGGTTCGGGTCCTACCCTCCGGAGCAGGAGAAAACAAGCTTGCTCCATCTTCCATGTGAGAGCTCTTTAGATATCTGAGTATGGCTGTCATTTCTCCTCTCAGTCTTCTCTTTTCCAGGCTAAACATACCCAAGTCCCTCAACAGTTCCTCATAAGGCTGGGTTTCCAGATCCTTGATCATCTCCTCTACACATGTTCCAGCTTATCAAAATCCTTCTTAAACTGTGGTGTCAGAACTGGACACAGTACTCCAGATGTGGTCTAACCAAGGCAGAACAGAGTGGTACTATGACTTCCCTTGATCTGGACACTGTACTTCTGTTGATGCAGCCTTGAAAAGCATTAGCTCTTTCTGCTGCTGCATCATATTGTTGACTCATGTTTCCTTTTCATATGTACTACTGGCAAGCCAGGTGTCCTCTGTTTTATATTTGTGCAGCTGGTCATTCCTGCCCAAGGAATTTGTCCCTATTTAAATTCATTTTGTTGGTTTGGGCCCAGTTCTCCATCCTGTTACATTCTGTCTTCTGCAGCATTAGCTGCCCCTACCAGTTTGATGTCATCTGCAGATTTGATGAGCATCCCCTCAATTCCTTCTTCCTTGTTGTTTATAAAGACTTTGAACAACAGTCTGGCTTGAAAGTCTATAGCATACACCCACAGTAAGGTCACTGTTCTTTCCCTCTCCTACAGTTTTTATCCATATACTCTCAATCTGCCCTCCATGCTCCAAGTCATGGATCTCCCCACATATTATGCTACTTCTCCCCCCTTCCTGTTTGGTCTATTCCTTTTGCACAGGTTATATCCCTCAGTTTCTACATTCTAGTTAGGAGTCTCATCCTACCAGGTTTCAGTAATGCCTATTAGGTCATATTTGTCACCCTGTATTAAGAGCTCTAATTCATCTTGCTTGTTTTCCATACTCTGTGCATTAGAAACAACTGAAACCTGCAGCCGCTTTCTTCTTGTAGTTTCTGCCCTTTTGCAGGTTTCCGTAGCACTACCTCATTTTCCTGTGCATCAATGAAGCTATTATCCCCAGTATCAGGGAGTGAAAAGTAGTGCTTCTTGTGGCCCCCCCAAAATGTGACCAGGATGTGGTGACCCATAAGACAAAACAGTTTTTCCACAATCATTAGTACTTTGCCTGACTGATCAAGACTCAACTGGGCTAAAGTGCAGAAACTTGCCTCTTATCCTTGGCCTTATTCAGTTGTCCATTTTGCCCTCTTTTCTGTCTTCCTTATCTTATTTACTCCGTCTCCATCTACTAAATACAGTACCAATACACAACTGCATTTTGACTTCATCATAAGTTTCTTTTGTAGGGATTAAAGTTTGCTTTTGGCTGTAGTTTCCTTATATCCAATGACTTCAAAGAAGATGTCAAAAATGAGCACTGCAACAGGAGGGGAAGATGTGCAATATATATCTATCAAGGAAAGCACGTATTGGAGGAGAGAACCTACTTAAGGTAAGCTGGCTTTTTATTTTTGTCAATCTTAAGACGCTTTTGCAGCATAAAACCTACAACACTAAGACTTGAGGAGGAGAAAGCTCAGATTTCACCTTTATCTAATCCTATTGTCTGCATCATTCAGAGAAACTTGGCTTTCAATTAAATCATATATTCTCCGACTTCTTTAAATCTTCAGGTATAGATGAATGCCAAAATATTCTTAGCGATTTGCACTGCTGTCCTGCCCACAGTCAGACTGCTTAAATCTCTTTGGACTGAATGGGGATTTTTAAAAACAGATCAAAAGTGCACAGAAAAAGGGCATCTTTTGTCGGAACCAAAAACTGTAATTGTTGCTCTGCTACTACAAATGATCGATTTTTCTTGTTTGTCATAATGGTATTTCTTAATGAGAATTAAAGTTGGACTCTGAAGTATTTATTTATTTTTAGAAGGGCATGTTAGCAAGTCAATTAATTAAGTCCTTCCTCCAATGTATCTTCTATACATATGCAGCATAATAAGGTCTGATATTGAGCTATGTGCCCAATTTCAGAAGCATTGCCAGGAATCAACCATTGAGAAATAGTCTCATGTATTCTTGAGGTTCAAATCTGAATCGTGCAATTAAGAAAGCAAAAGGAGAAGGTTCAGCCGAAAATAATGTACTTTGTGCTTAAAATATGAAACTTGACACACTCCTATATTGACCCATGCTGGAGATTATATACATATATATATATATATATATATATATATATATATATATATTGATCCCAGTAAGCAATGCCCCCTGGTGGCCATGAGACTAATAAACAAGTATTTGTGGCATACACTTTTGTACCATACAAATCATAGAATTAATCATAGAATCCCAGTTGGAAGGGACCACAAGGGTTATCTAGTCCATTCCTCTGCAATGCAGGAATCTTTTACCCAACATAAGGCTCAAACTCATTAGCCTGAGATTAAGAGTTTCATGCTCTACCAACTGAGAATTCCTCTGTGCTGTAGTTAGTATACAGGAGCTATGTGAGCTGCACAAGCATGATTTACATGAGGATGCTGTGAAGTGGGAGTCTCAATCCAAATTTCAAACTGTGTTTATATGTAGCTAGGATTGCAGACTTTATGGTTCAGGGATATGCAACATACCCTCCAACATTTCTCCAATGAAAATAGGGACATCCCATTCCATAATGATATTTTTACTACAGTATCTATACCCTACACATTTTACTGGGACGCCCCAGCCACTCTGGGCGGCTTCCAACATATATAAAAACATAATAAAACATTAAACATTTTTAAAAACTTACCTATACAGGATTGCCTTCAGACGACTCAGGGATTGGAGAACACCATACCCTCCAACATTTCTACAATGAAAATAGGGACATCCTACCATACTCTCCAAAATTTCTCCAATGAAAATAGGGGCATCCTAAGGAACAGCGGCACATTCTGGGATCAAATCAGAAACCAGGGTAGTTTCTCTAAAATAGGGACATCTCTGGAAAATAGGGACACTTGGAGGGTCTGTTGCAAGGATCCTTCCTGGTCTGCAGAGGCTGTAGCACACTGTCCAGAAAGGACCACCCATTCTACCTCTCATCCCTCTCATCAACCAGTGTTCTGTCCAGCATCACGTCCTGTGGCAGCGGCAGGAGGAGGAGGAGAGTCCAATTGTGGAGTTGAGCAGAGTATAATAATAATAATAATAATAATAATAATAATAATACCTGGCTCAGGGCGGCTAACACCAGTAAAATTACAATAAAAACATAATGGGGGGGAGGGAAAAAAACCAATTTAAAATACGCGTTAAAATACAATTTAAAATGCAGCCTCATTTTAATAGTAGCCCATAGATCAAAACCATAAGGGGAGGGAAACATAAGGGTCAGACTGAGTCCAAACCAAAGGCCAGGCAGAACAACTCTGTCTTGCAAGCCCTGCAGAAAGATATCAAGTCCCGCAGGGCCCTAGTCTCTTGTGACAGAGCGTTCCACCAAGTCAGGGCCAGTACTGAAAAGACAGACCAATCTAACTACCTTGTGACTTGGGACCTCCAAAGTGTTGTCATTTGACACAGTTTCAGCAGCCAGCGGCTCCTCTGAGTCCTGCCGTGTAAGGGAAAGACAGAGGAAGCAGTCCCTGGCCAGTGGCAGCAGCAGGAGGAAGAGGAAGCTGAGCTCCAGAGAGGAGGAACCAACAGCCATTGAAGCCACGCTGCCACCAGTCCTCATGAACATTTGTGATTCTTCCTATTAGTGCCAGTGACATTCAGGTGATGGGGAGAAATCAGATGATGAGCAGCTCTTTCAAGTTCTTGTTTACAGTATGGACACATTGAACATAAGGAGATAAGAGCCCTGGTGGATCAAGACAAAGGCCGATCCAGTCTAGTGTCCTGTTCTCACAGTGGCCAGCCTGATGCCTATGGAAGCCCTAATAATAATAATAATATGCCACCCCAGCCATTCTGGGTGGCTCCCAACAGAATATTAAAACACAATAAAACACCAAACACTAAAAGCCTCCCTATACAGAGTTGCCTTCAGATGTCTTCTAAAAGGCAGATAGTTGTTTATTTCCTTGACATCTGATGGGAGGGCATTCCACAGGGTGGGCACCACTACCAAAAAGGCCTTTTGTCTGGTTCCCTGTAACTTCACTTCTCACAGCAAGGGAACTGCCAGAAGGCCTTTGGAGCTGGACCTCAGAGTCCACTAAATTGAAGCACTTCTAGTGGCCTCCCACACGCAGGTTTGAACATGAGAATGGGATAGAAGGCCCACACTGTCATAGTGTGCCGAGTTTTTGATTTCTGGAAGAAAGACACCATTCCAATCTCTACCAATTACTTTCAGAGTTGTGTGGCGGTCATTTGACAAACACTTCTGGTTTCGAGTTAGTGCTTGCAGAAACGAGTGGCAATCTAATTAGAAGTCCAGTGTGGTTTTCCTTTCTGAATGCCGGGGGGAGGGGCTGCAGTGCATTTTGGACAAGAAAGAACTGGTGGTGTGAAAATAATGTGCCGTGTACGTCTAGCTTGACGGGATACAAAGAAGTCATAGCAACAGGGTGCCTCTCTTTCTGTTAAGAGAAATCTAGATAGTAAACATGCCACACATATTACTTTTTCCCTTTTATCTTTGACATATCCCCTCTACTTCTTGCAAACTTCATGACAATGGGATGATTTACTCATTAACTGCTACAGCAACTAGAAACAATGGCAACCCTGTAAGGTGCCTGAACTCTTTTTCTCCTTGCAGATTTTACTTAGAGGCGTCATATTGATTTCCTCCACGAAATGGGAGGTGCCATTGCCTATTTGGCAGCTTAAAAAACTGAGCCATTCAAACAGTTGTGGGTCTTTTGTGTCCTTTGCTATGAAACATTTTCTTTATTCTCATCAAACTGATTTTTATGCTCAGTTAGAAATCACAACTCTGCTGTGTAAACGTAAGTTTTGTCTATTCACAGATGAACACATAGATCATATACACCAGGAACATGTGGCCTTCCAGATGTTGACGAACTACAATTCTCAGCATCCCGGCCCACTAGACATGCTGGCTTGGGTGGATGGAAGAGTCCAACAGCAGCTGGAAGGCCACAAATTCACAACCCCGATATACACAGCCTCAGCTCTTTGGAGAAGACCGCCATCATGATTTGATGATGTGGTGTGCCCAGCAGCCCGACACTCCTTTCAAGACAGGGAGGAATTCATTTGAGTTGCATTTTAATGCAAACCCACCTAAAGTGTATTTCCTCAATTAACCCATGAATAAAAATCCAACCATCATTTGCCATTTGTACTCCTATGCATTTCACATTATTATGCATTATTTCACATGTATTAGGAGAAAGGGTATATACATACAATAACATACAAAAAGGCATTGTATTATGGACATTAGTTCGGCAAAAAAGAAATTATAGGCTATGAAGGCATACTAATTGTATATATTAGGAGAAATGTCGCAGAAATGCATGCAAATATTCATGTGGGCTTTTAATCCTCATCCCCAGAAGCTGATGTGGAAATGAGGCCAACTGAATGAAAGACTGGGGAAGAAAGCGAGAGAACCCAAAATTTACCTTTTTGTCCCTCCCTACTCTTGTTGGGCATATTCTTCCAGTCTGAAAGCCAGAGGTTTCCACAGCAACCATAATATGTCTGAATCTTCTCTTTCGCCGCCCATATTTTCAGTGGGTACCTATCAATGATTGTGGCTTTTCACCACTGGGGAAATTCTTCTTCTTACTCCTTAGCTATAATTTGGTCTCAGCATTAGATGTCAATATAATTTGTTTCCCCCATTGAAAAGGCAGTTGTTTTTTCTGCCTGATGCATTTATTCTTAAAGGACATGCCTGCAATAATTGAGAGCCACTGCATGATGTTAGGCATTTGTAGCATTGTTAAAGATATTTGAAGCAAACACAGCTTCCAATGTTAAATTATGCTGTTATGTGTCCAAGAAAGACTTGCCAGGATGAGGCTATGGTTGTCATCCATCTGTCTTGGGAGGCAATGGAAGAACATACCTTCAAGGTTGAAGTTAAACCTTTGGAGAGTGACAGTGTCTGCTGTGGTTGTAGAGACTGGATATGGCAGAGACATGTTTTGTTGCAGCTGGGCAGATGAAAGTGTCCGGTTGTGCTGCTGCAGGTGTATAATGGCGTTTCTTCTTTCTGTTCTCCTCCCAGTGGTCATTCGTCCTCTGGTCACTGCTGTGGATACAAAACCTGACTGATTGTCTCCAAGCACTGCAATCATCTGCAAGGGATTCCCACAGCTTTGTAATGCAGAGTTGGTCTGCCAACGACTCTGATGCCTGAAGCCAGCTTCCCATAGAGCTCCTTGGCAGCATAATGGACCAGGATGTTAGTCTTCATCTGGCTGATGCTAAGGCCAAACTCCATGCAGACTTGGGCAAAATGGTTGATGAGTCTCTGTAGAGTTTCCTTGGAGTACACTGTCAATACTACATCATCTGCAAACCACATCTCACACACTTTTTGTCTTGGCGTGGAAAAGTGTCAGGTTGAATAGACCCCATAGAACATGATCAACTGCTTTCTCCACCCCATAAACACCACAGTCATTGCTCCCAAACCATTCTGAAGAGCCCAGTGTCCCATTCAAAACTCTGAAAAGTCTAAGTTTCAGTTTGAAAATGGACAGCAGCAACACAAAGACAATGTCACTAAGTCCCAAAGCTTTCCTTAGGCATGTGATCTGCCTTGCTATTCCCACATGACCCAAAACCAAAAGACCCATTAACCACAATTCACAATTCAAACTGACTTACTGCTGGCAAGCACCCAGCCACATGTATACTTTTATTCCGACTACTCCAGCCCCAGCCAATCACACTGTCTAACTGAATATTCTAAAACTGCACCCACCAATCAAAATATGCATACCTTGTATCTTCCTTTTGCATACTGAGAATTCTAACTCACCTCCACCAGTTAAAGCTCCGCATGGCAGTTAAACCGACTTTCGCCTTACCAGAGAGAAAACTTTGCCCATCAAATACACTATGATATATATTACAACACAGGTGTCAGAATGTGTTACCCATTACCCATTAAAGCTCAGTTCAAATAAGCAGGATGTCTTCATTGGGAGTTTCGTTAAACTCAAATGGGGGCAACTTTGAGTTTAATGGAACTCCCAGCATACTCAGGCAAAGTGGGGGCACTTGAATAGGTATGTATAAAATTTGCCCTGTATGGAATTATACTGACGGGCACTAGTAAAAGGAGGGCAGAACTTAGCCTCTACCCTTGGGACGCTTCACTATCCCTGGCAAGAGATTTCACAGTGGGTATTAGTACATAGCATCTTTCCAAGGGATGCCTCAATGTCAGATGGTTCAATCTCTGGCAAATCTAGTTTTGAAAGATCCTGCAGCAAATGATGCAAAAAAACCACCACCCTAAAACAAACTCCTCCTTGCGATTCTGGCGTGCCTCTGATAGCCTGGCCTCAAACTGGACAGTTTCCCATTTTCCCTTCCAATATGCAACTCCTCTTTCCTGACACAGTCTACCTGTCGTAACGGCTGGCATTTTGCCGTGTCACAATAAAATATGCTTCTGAATGCCAGTGCCAAACATTTGAACATATCACTGTTTAAATGCATGTGCGCCTGCCTCTCCTGATATTCGGGTTTTTATTACTTGGCTGTAAAAACGTCTAGTAAACAAAATCCCATTTTATCAGCAGAAAGGTATATTGACATTGGAGGCTTCTGAAAGCCCTAAAGTAGAAAAATACAACAACTTTTAAATAGAGATAAGTATTCTCTTCCTTACTTTGGCCTCCCCCCACAAATAAACCCAGCCACTCAAGCATCAACAAAGATGTGTGTTTCTAGAAGGGAAAATCGACAAAACAGGATATATATATAGGGGTTCTGCATGTGGAAAGCAAATGCTAATTTTAATTGAGGGCTGGAAAAATGATAATGAGTTTTGAACTTTGACTTGTGTTTTCTTCCCGTGATGATATTTTCAAGTCTTATTTGCTAAATTATGATGACCAGATAAAAATGTAATTACATGCATAATTTATTTGTGGTTTTTTCATTGCAGTTCATTTTACTGGGACGCTAAGGGGCGGGGGAGAGAGATTTATTGCACATTTAAATGGAACATCGCATAGCAGTTTCTGGCAAATGTATTAGGACATGATTCAGCCAAGGTTAAGCACTTTTAAGTTGCATTGATTTCAGCAGAAAAGATTTAAACATGTACTTAATTCACCCATTGGAATCAATGGGACTAAAAAGTGCTTAATTTCAGTGAGTTCGTCCCCTTAATTTTCATTCTCTCATCAATTCAAAGTTACAGATTCTTACAAGTGTGAACATGACAATACCTTGGAAGATGTTTCCACTATTCTATGGATTTCCCCATGTAATACATGAGTGTGGCAGACCTCCTATGCTAGTTTCCCAGCAATTTGGTCACTGTTGCTTACTGGTAGGAAGGGGGAAAGGGTTGAGGGGGTGGGGAGGTTGGCAAGGTGCAAATGCATTGGCAGGAATGCCGGATCAGGTGTCTGGTATGTTTACACCATGCCAACTTCCCCACCACTTTAAAGGTAAAGGGTCCCCTGACCATTAGGTCCAGTTGTGACCCACTCTGGGGTTGCGGTGCTCATCTCGCTTTATTGACCGAGGGAGCCGGCGTACAGCTTCTGGGTCATGTGGCCAGCATGACTAAGCCGCTTCTGGCAAACCAGAACAGCACATGGAAACACCATTTACCTTCCCGCCGGAGTGGTACCTATTTATCTACTTGCACTTTGACGTGCTTTCGAACTGCTAGGTTGGCAGGAGCAGGGACCGAGCAACGGGAGCTCACTCCGTCGTGGGGATTCAAACTGCCGACTTTCTGGTCGGCAAGTCCTAGGCTCTGTGGTTTAACCCACAGCACCACCCGCGTCCCTCCCCACCACTTTACTCTCCTGGTAAATTACAGTTCCACCTGCCAGAAAGCTAGTGCAGCAGCTCTGCCCAACCTGGTAAGCCACTTTTGTATATCATGTAGGTTTGAAATAGATTGCTTGGAACTACAAGTGGCTGTTGTGATTTGGAGTTGGCTTACAGAGTGTATTATTTATTCTTTTATTTAAATGATTTATAATACTGGACATACTGTGATAATCATTTGTAAATAAGCAGATTTTTGCAAAGGCAATACAGTGCCCTGGTGGTCCTCTTCCAAAGAAACTAACACCATAAGGGCTGTTGGAATTTCTTATGTGAGAAATCCGAAAATGTGAAAAAGAAATAATCACTGGGAAAGCCAGGAGATGCTAAACAGTCAGAACCTTCTGAAAGCTTCAAAAGCTCTGATTCTGCTGTCCTTTCACACATGCAAAGGCTTACCTGGACACAGAGAATCCCGAATGTGTAACGGCTACTCAATTAAATTGAGGAAAAACTCTGTTCTCACAGATGTTGAAAAACTCCAGGCGAACAATATTGGTAGAGTAGCTAAATCGTAGTTGGGAAGCCAAATCATGTGCAATGCTGACTCTTTTCTTGAAATTAAAAGAATGTCCAAACACTTGTTAAGATATTCAGAAAGCTTTTGCTTGCAGAACATATAGATAAAGAAGAATATATGCAAAGTCTTTACATTCACATGCTCATCCAAGCATGGGCTTAGTTGAAGATTACAACTTCTTCCTTAAACATTCAAACAAACTGTGTTTTTCTCTCAGTACTTGCACTCAGCCTTCTGTGAAATACCCATCTGAGCCATGCAATTCTTTCAGAGTAATTTCCACTTTCTCCTTCCAGCAGACTTCTCCTTACTGCTTCTTTGGGAGATCATTGACTTTTGTGCTTCTTTCTGCCACACACATTCACACAGCAACATTAGCACTCCTCTCCTCTATTGAATTTAGAGAGTGACTTAACTAACACCGTCTCTTCATCAGTGTTCATGGAGATGCAGCCATTACGGCCAAGTCACTCGCACACAAAACAAAATGGAGAATGTAATAAGATACTTGTCATGTGACCAAAGCTAACCAATCGCGTGAGAGTTACTGGGGAACATTCCAGAATTAAACACACAGTAATGCATTTCAGCATTCCCAGTTTCAGTAAAGTAAATCACTATACTTAACAAGTACTGGAAGCCTTTGGATCATGGCCAGTATGCTACCCAAAAGAATGCATGAGAATTACCATAAGGTGTTTGTGCTTTTCTGTTGCAGGCCCTTGAGCTTTAGGCTCCTCAAGGAACTTTCCTCATTGCATTATGAAACTCCTAATCTCTTCAATTATTAACTGTCACTCCCCTCGCTGAGCATCCTCTTCTACAGATACAGAAGACCTTCCTCGTCACATTCCTTCCCCCTGTCCTTGCTTTTAAATCATTAATCTTTCATCCGCGTTCTGCTGAGTTGGTATAAAATCCCAGCCGTCCGCTCACAGTCGCTTCACCTACTTTATTTCGCCTCTTTGATGCAGAGGACTTGTTTTCCCATGGCTGTTCCCAGAGATGTGTCACCATGCAGTTGAACCAAACCAGTTTCCCCCCTCAAGCTGTCCTTCGATCTTCCTTCATCAGTGAATGCTCTCTCGAGTCAGTCAATGACCTTGAATGTGCAACATTTCTCTTATGCTGGACCAGCTTTCTCTGTGTGTTCCCATTTCCTGTTGTCTCTGACATGCGTGTGGGTCCCAGGGCTTCCCAGTACCGTAGCTGTCAGCTTACAGATTTGAAAATAAGGGACCAGCAGCCTCGAATATAAGGGAACAGCAGCCAAAATAAGGGATCAACAATTACTTTGATAAAATACATATTTTGTTTTGTGCAAATGGCTTTAGATACCTATTAGGTCCATAAATTACCATTTAGCATATATTCAACACAAAAAAACAGCAACAATTTGTTGTTGACAAAGGACAGCTGGACATAGAAAGGGCCCCATTACCTTCAGTAGCTTATTTAAGGGACATCATCAATAAGGGGCAGCAGCGGGACACGGCGCTGGGATAAGGGACTGCCCCGCCAAATAAGGGCCGCTTGACAGCTATGCCCAGTACACCCTTTGCTGCTGAATGTAGATCAAGTGTACTTTCGTGATGATGCCACAGAAGTGGGGCTCATTTCCTTGCATCTGATAGTTTTCATAACCTCTTCTTTTGTCCCAACAAGCAAAAAGATATATTCCTCTGAGCCTCCCATTTTTAGAATTAAAGAAGACAGCAGTTATTTCTCCACAATATACCAAAAGTGACATTTCCACTCCTAAGTTTTATTTTACACATTTCTTTCTGATGGCAGTGATAATTTCTGTTTATGTTTTGCTGCTACATCTTACCTTTGATGTAGTAATGGAAACAATAAGATACATTTTTTTAAAAAAGAAAGAAGATAAAATACTATTATCAGACAAGCACAAGGTAAGCACAATTAAAGCTGCAGCCTGGAAGTAGTGTTGTACTGATACCTGTCTGCCAGTTTTCCAACATTTCCCCTCATAAAAGAACATTCTGTTTTTCTGCCTCATTCACAAGGAACTCTAGAATTTATTTAGAATTTCTGAGAGTGTGGGATTCAGCTTAACTTGTGATGTGGCCAAGGGTTTATGGGCGTTTTTGTTTAATTCTCAGTCATGTATGGAGAGATGGGTGGATTCTGATCTGAACTGGCAACCCTATGAAGGTGCTCTAACACATGGGTAGGCAAACTACGGCCCGGGGGCCAGATCCGGCCCAATCACCTTCTAAATCCAGCCTGTGAATGGTCCAGGAATCAGCATGTTTTTACATGAGTAGAACATGCCCTTTTATTTAAAATGCATCTCTGGGTTATTTGTGGGGCATAGGAATTCGTTCTTTTTTATTTTTTTCAAAATATAGTCTGGCCCCCCACAAGGTCTGAGGGACATTGGACCAGCCCCCTGCTGAAAAAGTTTGCTGACCCCTGCTCTAACATCCAAGGTGCTGTGGCTTTAAGTTGTCACAACACTTTCCTATTGCTTCGGCAAGTGTGTTATCTTCATGGAGATTGTTACTGAAACAACAAGAAAATTAAGAAGAAAAGAAAAATAATTCTCATCTTACTTCTTACAAAGGCACCCCTCCAAAATTTTCTTGAATCAGAGAACTGCCTCCTTCTTATCCAAGTAGTGAGATTCTCACTGGCCTCACAATAATTCTCCCTCAGCAGAGGACATTTGCTCAGCTGAATTATCTGATGAAGTTACATACATCATACAAATAACATGGTTTATGTATGCCACCTTTCCATAATTGAAACCATGCTCAAGGCCGCAGATAACATGAAAAATACTTAATTAGAAACATAACAGAAGTAGTCGTGAACAATAAATTAAACAACAAAAAGTACACAACCAAACTGAACAATTTCCACCCTCCCAGGCCAGATGGGAAAGGCCTAAAAAACAGGAAGCAGGACTCACAGTCAAGAAGTTGTGTCCATTCGCTGGTCACCAGGTGTCGGAGAGATTACTTTGATTTCTGGTTCCTTCTTGGAAGCCAAGGGATAGACTTTGCATCGCCTGCAGCATATCCTGAAGTGACTGTGAAGCCTTTTCAACCAAAGATAGAATGGGGGAAAGTTAAAAAAACTGAATTTAGGGCCCCCTGACACTTCCAAAATAAAGATGAATTTGTTGCCATAAACATCTTGTGGGCAGGAGTAGGTCTCAACAAGAAAATCTTGCCAAAAGACCCTCCAAAACATGGAGATGGCCTTGCTGTAATTATAGCCACAAAGTAAAAAGGCAAGTCTAAAGCATTTAAACTGTCCCAGAGCACAGTCATTTGGGGATAATCCAGCCATGACTGGAGGGTTCTTGATGGTTAATTATGGAACTGAATCCTATAACCCCTAACCAATAAAATGTCTCCCTAACTAATGAAACACACTTTTCTTGCTTTCCTTCTCTCATCTTCCTCTCTCTCCTTGTCTTACACTTCCCACAAATACTTGCACTTGCCAAAGTTCCCTGGTAAGTAACCCAACAGGGGGACATGTCACAATGCCAGGCATGTCACTGTTACCATAGCAGTTTTGGTCAACAGTGCACATTGTTCTTCTTCATGCTAATTTTTATAGCTCTCAATAAATTAAAATTTTAAATTATGATTTAAACACATTCTAGAACATTTCATTTAAAGACTTCCAGTGCATTGTTTGTTATAAAAATGTGATGTAACAAAACAACACAATATTCTTAAGATGACAACAAAACTGAGAGGCAACAACAATACGAAATAATGAAGCAGGACAGAGGCCACACAATTCCTGTGCAATTTTTTTAAGTGTAACTTATTGTCAGAAGGAGGGATGCGGGTGGCGCTGTGGGTTAAACCACAGAGCCTAGGACTTGCTGATCAGAAGGTCAGCGGTTCGATTCCCCACGACGGGGTGAGCTCCCGTTGCTCGGTCCCTGCTCCTGCCAACCTAGCAGTTCGAAAGCACGTCAAAGTGCAAGTAGATAAATAGGTACCGCTCCGGCAGGAAGGTAAACAGCGTTTCCGTGCACTGCTCTGGTTCACCAGAAGCGGCTTAGTCATGCTGGCCACATGACCCGGAAGCTGTACGCCGGCTCCCTTGGCCAATAAAGCAAGATGAGTGCCACAACCCCAGAGTCGGTCACGACTGGACCTAATGGTCAGGGGTCCCTTTACCTTTACTATTGTCAGAAGGAGTTTTGTATATTTGTAATGGATGAGAGGGTAGATTTGAATTACCTAGGATAACTAAAACACAAAACTGGGCATGAGCCCGGGTTGGAAGTTAAAAAAAACCATGAACAGTAAAGAATTTCCAATACTTTGATTGCGCTTTGGAAACTGGATAGTTAGGCACACTGAAATTTCCAAGGACGGAGAATTTTTTAGAGGGAAATCTTTATCTATAGATGACCGTAGGAAGTTTGGAGGGGGTGGGAGGAAGGATGGGGTGGGGAAACGATTCCATAAATCTATTCCTAGAGATACCAGGTCATACTAGATATAAAATGTCAAAGGTTTTCTCACTATCACACATTAAAAGAAAGCAATTTTAGCAGGCTCTGAAGAAACACCCGTCAGTAATAGAACTGCAGAGAAAATAGGAATGTGATGCAGTCAGGCTGCAGTAATAATACCCTTGATCTGAAGGATGCAGGTTTGCTAAGCACGCAGCCTTGTTTTTTTAATATGGCTAAGTATCTTTGTGAAGGAGCACATTAGAAATAGGGGAATGATCGAAAGCGCAAATGCTTTGCATTCTAGAACATATACATTATAATAAAGGGTTGCCTGAGTAATATAAAAACTAGTCAAGGTTGTGTGGATTGGAGCGGGGGGGGGGGGATATTATCAGATAGAAAGTTGGACTAGTAAAGGGTTGCCTGGATTGTAGGGAGAAGCAAATTTACACTCAACACATATTAAATAAGTGAAAAGGTCAACAGGTTGCACTGAGAACCCAGCATTTTAAAATGAAAATTGTCGACTTGATAAGAATACACCAGACATGTAGCTAGACTAAGGGCACCTCAACAGTTTTACGTTGCAAATGGATCATTCATCTCTGGTTTTTCTCTGCGCACGATTCATACTCAGTCATCCACAAACTCTGTTTATTAGCTTTAGATTTTTCAGAGGTACTCCAGTTATTCCCCATCCACATCACTGGACAGTCCCTGATGGAATGTTCCTGTCCTGTGTTTTCTGCCTCTCCCATCAATCACTACTCAACCGCCCTCCACTCCCTTTCCCCCAATCTGGGCCAAACACACAGGTATTTCTATACCTCTGCAGGCACATCTTTTAAAATGTTTTCTTCTTCCCCCACAGGAAGGGACACAAGAGTTCAATAGCATATGTTACCACTACCAGTGCCTAGTTATCATGTATCACAATGGGCAAACAAAGCTTTGTGCTTTTGGAGAGGCTTTTTGAAAATGCTGCCACCAGAAAATTGTGAAACATTGATATATAGGCTATTGTGCAAAAATGTATGGTTTGTTCCCATTGTGCTCATCCTCAGCATATTCCTTTCAGTCCAGATCCTGCTATCCAGAAGGCTGGGTGTACTTACTTGACACACATTGAAAAACCTCTCTTTGCTTAGGTTATCCCTGCCTTTCCCCCCTTCACATGCCCCAGGTGAATGATTATTGTGATCTTGGTATATGACCACCCACAATGTCTTTGGTCAGGTGTGGATACTGTTAGAATTCCTGCTCCGTGATTGAGGTCATGGGATTTTTGTCTATCACATGATGGTGTATGTTTTGACTCCACAGAGTGGGAAGTGACGGAGACAGAATGTTTGTGTTACTGTGTTCCGTGAAGTGGGACTATTGTCCTTTGTTATTTCTCTTTGCTGTCTGATGCTAGAGAGAGAGGGAGCCATTTGCAGTGTTCCATGTGTGTTTATATGTAAATAAAGTGGATTAGGCAAAATGCTGAGTTGCTGAGGTCTGTTACACAAGCTGCGCAAACTCTGTGGATCCCTAAGTGTGCTGATGTCTGTTGGAATCGGTCGCTGTAATGTTCGGGCTGAAGAAAGCTTTTGAAGCTCCCGAACAATCGACCAAGAGGGAGGGGACATGCCAGTCAGGCATGTGTCTCTGCCAGGGTCCTACTCGAGAGTAGGATGAGTTCCTGACAGATACAGCCCTCATTGCTAGGACCACCTACACCAGTTTTCATCTGTTTTTAAAGAGACACACTGTGGGGTAATGCAGAATCAATCAGCTAAGATATTTTGCTTTTTGAATGAAACCAGTTTCTCAAGAAGCACTTTTCAGGGGCAGAAAAAAAATGCAACAGATCTAGCTTCTGTGTGGATGACATAGGCTCCATTGGCCATGTGTGCACAACCTTAGGTATACCAAAATTAAAATAAAGAGGTATTGTGAAAGCCTTTTGCATTTTTATTTCGGTCTGGATGGAATTTCATGGTAATTCTCCACATGCTTTGAGATCTTAAGAGAAAAGCTGCTCCAAACTGGCTTGTTGAAATCACCTCTCTCTCCCCCCCCCCCAAAAAAGTGTTAATGAGCTTCCACACAGCAATGACTCCAGAGGTGTAAGAGTTTTATTTTTACTTAATAGATTTTCTGTAGTAAGAGGAAATCAGGATTTTAAAATTATTATTTAAATTAAGTGTGAGTAGGCATTTTGATGATCACGACATCATGTGGCTGGTATGAAAGGCTTGCCTGCAAGAGCAGCACTGATTCCACAATAAACCTCCATCTGGAAGAACTCCTGTGGTTCACAGTGGATAGCTACCGTCATACTTCTCTGTGTTAGCACCATGATGCTATGATGTGCGAATTTGTTTTGATTTTTACAATTCTCCATCTGTGAAAAGAGGAGGGCCGCTTTGGCATTGTTTGAACACTGGGCAGGGGCAGCACTGAGGTCCACGGGGTGTTCTGGATCAAAATACTCTAGCAGCTGAAGAACAAGAGTTCTGAAGAAGGTTCCAAATAAGGGCTAAGGGGGAAAAAATGGCTCCTCTCTTTCCCAGCATCATCTGATGATTGTGGGTTGGGGAGTGGCATCAGCAATGCTCTAGGACATGCAGATATTGTAGCTTGTTCAAGTGTCAGGGGCTGGACTGAGAAGGAACCTTCCTGAGAACAGGAGGACAGTATAGATTTCAAACAGTGGTTTGCAGAAGGTCATAGTTCAGAAGCTGCAAAGGGGAGAAGCTGGGAAATATTGGGAGAGGAACAGCAGGAAGAAGAATCACCAGGAGAGAGACAGCTTACAGACTCAGTGTCTTTGGAAAGCATTCCTGACCCCCCCCCTTCCCAGGACCAGGCAGGCATTGAAAGTAGTAGAACAGAGAGCTCAGAAGCAGAAAGCTCAGATCAGCCAACGCAGGCATGACCTAGAATAGAAGAGACAGAGGGGATGGGACTTTACTCAGAGCAACGCCATTATTTAATAGAGACTACATTCCTCCATCTCTGTGAAAACTGAATAAACTACTTGGTAAGAACTCTTCTTGTTTATCTGCTTCTTGGCTGTCACCATGGGAGGGATTGGATTCTTTGAATCCTGACATCAAGAAGCAGATTCTGAGCTACTAAACATGCACTCCTCCACTGTTGAGCTAAATTGGCCTGTTGTGTTGGCAGCATTCTGAGAGCTCAGGAATGATCTGGTTCCTGGTCTTCATATTCAAGACTAGCAGTGGCACATGTGGTTGGGTACAGCTGCAGAGGCACCCCCTCACCACTGATGACACTGCTGCTTACCTGGGTCCATACCGTTATTTGTGTTTGCACCCCATTACCAGTGGGAGTGCTGGATTGATGGTGGTGGTCCTATAGGTAGGTTAAAAAAAAAGGTAAAGGTAAAGGACCCCTGGATGGTTAAGTCCAGTTAAAGGCGACTATGGGGCTGCGGCACTCATCTCGCTTCCAGGCCGAGGGAGACGGTGTTTGTCCACAGACAGCTTTCTGGGTCATGTGGCCAGCATGACTAAACCGCTTCTGGGGCAACGGAACACCGTGACGGAAACCAGAGTGCACGGAAACGCCGTTTACCTTCCTGCCACAGTGGTACCTATTTATCTACTTGCACTGGTGTGCTTTCGAACTGCTAGGTTGGCAGGAGCTGGGACAGAGCAACAGGAGATTTGAACCGCCAACCTTCTGATCAGCAAGCCACTGAGCCACCTGCTCCCCTAGGTCCTATAGGTACATCCACACTGCTCAGGCGTCTTACCATCCAGGTAAGCAGCAATGGCACCAGGACTGGGAGAGCAGTTCGGCTGCTATCATGCTATTGAACCCATGTTACTGAGAAATAGTACAGTGGTACCTCAGGTTAAGAACTTAATTCGTTCTGGAGGTCCGTTCTTAACCTGAAACTGTTCTTAACCTGAGGTACCACTTCAGCTAATGCGGCCTCCCGCTGCTGCCGCCCCGCCACCCACGATTTCTGTTCTCACCCTGAAACAAAGTTCTTAACCCAAGGTACTATTTCTGGGTTAGCGGAGTCTGTAACCTGAAGCATCTGTAACCCGGGGTACCACTGTAGATGGTAACCAATGATGCCCCCTCTACTGAATGAAGGCACCCATCAGAGAAACTGGAAGGAGGGCCATTTTCAGGAACATATCCTCCCCGCTGCACCTCACCAAGCCACCAATCTTTTCCACTATGTGTGTATAGATACAGAAATGCACATACGTGTATATTGAAATGAATAAGTGGTGTGATGAGTGCCGATGAGTCACACCGAAATACAAACTCCAACTCTTCCATTAGAGCAATGAATATTGTTAATACCACACCAGACTCTTTACAGTCATCCTCTCTCGGCAGCTGTAAAGATGACATGTGGGATCATTCCAGCTGATAAGTTCTTTCATTCAACAATCAAATGGGTATTGCATTCTCTGGGACATTATTGGCCATCAGTCCTTCAGCTATCAATTTCTACGGGGAATGATTGCTAATTGAAGAAGCAGAAATTCTATAGCATGGTGAGAAGCATACAGAACATCCAGAACATTAGCCTTTTCAACTGAATTTTCTTGCCTAACGATGGCTGCTTGTGAATGTGAATCCTGTATAGATTACAGGAAAAGGCCTGTTATTTTGAATAGGAAGGAACATATCCCCTGGGTAGCTGCAAAAGCAATACTGGGGAGAGAGAAGAGAAAAACATACACAAGAGTGCAATTAATATGAGCATTAGGCGAATTTCCATGCACCCAGAGAATATTCAGAAAATATTTGTCCACTAATTTTTTTAAAAGGGGGATTTCATGGTGAATGTTTTAGGAACTTCTGTTTGAACAGGAAGCACATCTACAGCCTTTGCTAAGTCCAACAGGAAAACCACCCAGTGCCATATATTTCCTACTAATACTGCTTAGAGTTTTTATAGACTCCAACTGATATCATCCCCAGCCAGCATGGCCTGTGGTCAGAGAAGATGGGAGCTGTAGTCCAGTAACATCTGAAGGGCAACAGTTTATCCATCCCTTCTTTCATTTCAGAAGACCTCTCCATGTGAAATACCCCCATCTGAAACCCAGGTGGGCTTTTAATATAGGCAACACGGCATTGGATGGACTAATGACTGGTTCTTGTGTTTTCGTATGAGGAAAAATATTCTGCAATATTTTTTTCAAGTTGCTGATCTGATATTTGTAAGCTTGTAACTGTGAAAAGAATCCTGTTTACCTGAATTGCGTTGTAACGGGTATTGTGCAATGTGTTGTGACATATGAATTATAATGTACATTGCAATGTGTTTGATGAGGAACATTTTCTGTTTGGTTTGTTGAGAGTTAGTTTAACTGTTAATGTGGGGCCGTAACTGGCAGGAGTGAGTTAGAATTCTCAGTATGCCAAAGAGAGACAGACAATATGCATATTTTGATTTTGATTGGTGGGTGCAGGTTTAGAATGCTTGGTTAGACAGTATGATTGGCTAGAGCTGGATTAGTGGGGCCAGAAGAAGTGATGCTGATTGGGTGCTGGTCATCAGAGGAGTGTTGGAGTTGGCTAGTTGATTGGAATGAATTAGAGTTGTTGGTTCTTGGTATCTATGGAGTCAGCCAGAAGAAGATGACAGCAGAATACCAGAAGGAAGATTTCCAGGCCAGGCCAGGAAGGCAAACTTGCACTGCAGTGGGCCAGCAAAGGATTGGAACAAGGGGCTTCCAGCATAGTTTTCAGTTATAGTGTTGATGAAACTTAACTGAGACAGAGAGAATAAAAAGGGCAATTTGGTTAAAGGATTTTAATTAACTGCTTCATTAAAGCTCCTTTAGTATAATAGTATATGCAGATGTTGATGTGTTTTAGTCTTGTTTACAGTTAATATTAATTATGATTTTTTGCTGTTTTTTATTGCCAATTTCAATATATCTTTTAAACCACCTAAACAGTTTACTACCATCAAGCAGTATATAAATTTTGTTAAATAATAAATAGTGACAGTCACAAGTTGATAAAGTGCACACTCATTTAAGGATATATTGCTATTTTAAAGTTGCCAGATAAGCTTACACACTTAATTATCTTGTCATAAATAAATGTAAGCCATTGTTAGATATAATATATGTATCTGACTGACTGTGTACCACTTCTATACCCCACAGTTACCGGGATATTGGAAAGTTAGGGTTTTAAAAGGAAAAAGTGAGATTTAAAGATGGCCGTGACATGGGTTTAGGAAAAGCATTGGAGTGGAAGTTGGATTTTCTTATTATAGATACTGCAAGTAAATACCTCCCTTACCTTCACATTAGTAGAAGGAATATTTGATTGTATATTTCAGGCTACAGTGATACATTCACACAGCTGCAAAGCAAATGCAACTCAGGATCTGGGAGGAATCAAGCCCTAGTGAGTAACTCTATAAAGAAGAGGTAGCCATTGAGAGGTATTGCGGTCTCAGGGTTGTTGGACTACAACTCCCACTGCCCCTAGCCATTGGCCATGCTGACTGGGGCTGATGGGAGTTGGAGTCCAACAACGTCTTAGGGACACCATGTTGACTATACCTGCTATAATCTATTTACCAGTATATGTAACTGTAATAATAATATGTAAGTTAATAATAATAATAAGTAAGAGAAGAAGAAGAAGAAGAGGAAGAAGAAGAGGAAGAGGAAGAGGAAGAGGAAGAGGAAAGTTATTATCTATTCACCCTGATGGAGCTAGGGGGCAATATGCAATTATTACCCACAATCATAAGTAGGCCTTGTGTATACAAAATGGCTGCTGTCACTGAGATTCTCAGCAGTGTGGTGCAAATATACACCCAGTCAGAGCCTCTGAGTAGCACCAATCAGCTGTCTGAAAGAGGGTGCTGCATTTATTCCTTACCTGCTGCCCCCTGCCTGTCAAACAGCTGATGTGCTAATTAGGTGCTCTAGGCAAGGCTTAGCTATGTAGCTTTGAACCAAGGCCATTGGCTGCAGAAGGAGCAAGACGTCCTATCAAGCAGTAAACCAATCATTCGAGAATGCACTGCGCTACCTTTTAATGTAATGAAGCACCATACAACTCCTTCAAAATCTGCTTTGTAGTTGATTCGAGTGCTTCACCCCCTCCTCATTAAGGCTATCAGTGCGATTTTCTGGGTTTTCCATCAAAACTGCCAAATATGCTTTTAGAAGTATTTGCCTTTCAGAGCCTCACAGGCAAAAACTTCAAGGCAAACTTTAAAAAACCTGATCATAGCAGCAGATGAAGCGATGCAGAAAAGCCCTGGAGCAATCTGCAGGGTTTTGCTGTCAGCAACCTGAGAGAGTGTCAGCACTGTCCGAGGGGACTTCTAACAAAGCTTTAGTCAAGTTCATGCAGGCTCAAATGGAGGAGCTCCCACTGTAGGAGAAAAGGTTTACTTAGGATAGATGAATTCCCTCGTCAGATCCGGAGTTGAAATGTCAGGTCCAACTACGTTCCATCTGCAGGCTTTTTTTATTCTGCCTTAATCATTAGGAGCACACAAAGCACAACAAGCTGGCTTGCAGAGCTTCCAAGTGTCTAAAGGGCAAATATGAGCAATGCAAAAAAGAAAAAGAGAGAAATCCCCCAAGGGAAATAATTTAAAATATATTTGCTTTGTAGTTGGCTTAGGCTGCTGTGCCATGCATGCACTGGATGGAACAGACATTAAGGAGATTGTGAGGCCGCTGCTGAAAATATCTCCCTCCTTCCCCAGTAATATCTAATAGATGGAAACATTGGATACTGTTGCACATGGTAGCCAATGGAGTGGAGCTGAGTCAGATTACCGTACTTGATACTGGAGGGGCTGGGAGGGAAGAGGAGAAGATATGAAGCAGCTGCTTTTGGTGCAGACCAGTGTTTCCCAGACTTGGGTCTCCAGCTGTTTTTGGACTACAATTCCCATCATCCCTGACCACTGGTTTTGCTTAAGTAGGGATGATGGGAGTTGTAGTCAAAAAAACCAGCTGGAGACCCAAGTTTGGGAAACACTAGTGTTTGACCAAAATACCTTGTTTCAGCCTTACTTGGAAGAAGGTTTTAATGAAACAAATGCTCTCTCTTCTCCCCCCCGCCCCCCAATTGCGGATTTCACTATTGGCCAAGTCATGTTACGTTTGAGGTCTTGAATCCCCAATGAACCTCTGCTAATTCTCATGATGAAAAAATGTTTCCAGCAAGCACTGTTGTCTTGTCAACAGTAAATGTTCTAAGTAATTGGAACTTTTTGTTCATTGATTTTATTCAGTACATTCAAGGACATAAGACGTGCCCTGCCAGAGCATACCCAAGGCCCATCAGATTTAGCATTCGAACCTTGCAATAGCCAAGCAGATGCCTATCAGTAGCTCAACAGCAGAAATGAATGCAACAGCACCCTTCATGCTTGAAATCCCCAGGAATTGGTATTCAGAGGCATGTGGATGTTGGAGGTAAAACAGTGGTACCTCGGGTTAAGTACTTAATTTGTTCCGGAGGTCCGTTCTTAACCTGAAACTGTTCTTAACCTGAAGCACCACTTTAGCTAATGGGGCCTCCTGCTGCTGCCGCGCCGCCAGAGCACGATTTCTGTTCTCATCCTGAAGCAAAGTTCTTAACCCGAGCTACTATTTCTGGGTTAGCGGAGTTGTAACCTGAAGCGTATGTAACCCGAGGTGCCACTGTACAGCCATCATGACTGTAAGCTATTGCTAGCCTTTTCCTCTTAATTTGTCTAACTCCCTCCAAAAGCCATTCAGTTTGGTGGTCATCCTTACATCTTGTGGGAATGAATTTTATAGTTCAGCTATAAAATTGAAGAAGCACTTTCCTTTGCCTTTCCTGAAACTTCCAACATTCAGATTCATTGGATAAGTCTAGATTCTAGTATTTTGAGAGGGAGGAAAGCATTTATTTATCCACTTTTGGAGTTGCTTTATACGGCTCTACTTTCATCCTCTTCCTTGCCTTTTTAAAAACTGAAACACCCTATACATCTGAATTAGAAATCCTCAAATGTTTCTGGCCAATCTTTGTAGGAAAGGTTCTCCAGACACATAATACTGCCCATTTCAGTCAATTCCCTCCTCCCCATGTTATATGGTGTGTCTTGATCACATGTGGCAAGCCCTACAATCAGTTTTAAGAAGGGCATTGCAATGCTGAGATCTGGGCTAAGGATGGATAAATCTGTCCATTTTTTGCTTCCCTCCATTTCTCACTTTTCTAGTCTTCTGTTTGTTCCATTTTTAGATCACGTAGTGGAATTGTTTAATGACTTTTCATAGTCTGCGTAAAAATTCACATACATGTTTGTTTGAATTTCTCCAAAAATGCATTTTCACAAACAATTTCCCCTAATATAATGGATTTGTGTACGTTATTTTCTCTGTGCATATTTTGTGCACACTGTCCCCTATCATATACTTTTTTTTGTCGGAGAACTGCATTGCAAAATTCATGCAAAGTGCAAATTTCAAATAATACCTGAACTTTCAGTTCACATACTCATTAAAGAACTAAGTATGTCTGCATTAAAGTGAAGTAAGCAAAGCTCTCCCTCATCCCTACTCTGAGCTTTGCCCAACCATCTGCCTTTTACTAATGCAAATGTTCATTCTACTACAGGCTTATAAATACCACTTACACAGGTAAGTGCTTCATTCTTGAAGAAGTCACAGCATCAAAAGAAAAGCCCACATTGTTAGCTTTATTAACTATGGCAATTAGCAGAATTCAGCCAATTAAGGTTCATGCACTTTCCTGGGGTAAATGAACCTCGCCATGTGGTAGATAGCATGCTCACAAAACGTCTATAATTGTCTTTTGAGATTTCAGTGCATATTGTCCATTAGAAGGTGCTTTCAGTGTTTGTTTGTTTTTAGTATTGAAGGTCAGACCAAGGGCTGCCAATGGAATCAATAGGTTGCTTACTTGTTTAACTTCACTCCAAAATTTGCATTTGTTGCTGACAGACAGCCCTTCCTTACATGATCAGAAAACCAAGGAGAATCTCACTTCATAGTGAACTGAGCACAGCTGAGGTTTCTAGAGAAAATGCAGAATTGTTTTGGAAGAGAATTTCAACATAATAACACAAGAGATGGAAAATTGTTGCCATGCATGTAATTTAAACAAGCTGGCAAAAGGAGCAGGGACTCACTTAATGCTTTCTTAGATTTAAATCTGCTGTCCTGCACAATTTTAAACAATGTAAATCATGGCTTGTGATCCAAGTAAACTCTTTTAACAAAGGATTCCATTAACACTGTTCCCACTGAAAGAACATGGCACCACTAAATCAGTTCATAAGTATCAATGCCAATAAGTAATATTTTGTTTCAGCACATCCCATTTTTAATTAGTGTATTTTAATAAATATATGCCATTTTCCAGAGCAGGTACTGAAGCTCTGGAAGAATGTCAAAAAGCATTGAGGAAAGCCTCCTCAGGGCCTGTTCCTGCAAGAGTTTTCTGTCTTCCCACCCACAGGGGGAGGTGCCATCAACTGTCCTGTGGGATGGATTCCAGCAGAAAATGGGAGGCAAGAAGAGACCACCTCAAAGTCTGCGCTACTGGGACTATCCCTTCCCCACCAGAGGGTTATTATTCCACCAACTGCCTTGTGTAAAGGATCCTGGTGGCTTTATTTATGTGGGAAGAGTTTAGAAAATGTGGTTTAGTGTTTCATGTAAGGCACCATGGAGCTATTTGTCTCCTGAAAGGCAGGTTAAAAAGAAGTTTAAGGAATAAATAATAAAATAAGCATGATCCTGAAACTGTTCGCAGTTTTTCACAAATGCTTTTGGCAACACCGATACCTCAGTGCCTTCAAGTTATTAAAATACACTCGTAAAAATATTGATACTCACGAACTGATCTACGGCAATTTAGTGGTGCTATGCTCCTTCTTTTTGACAATTTCCCAGCATTTCACATCTATTCAGGCGCAGAGGTCCCTTCCTGAATTAGGCAATTCATCTTACTGCTGTATGTAGGTTATATATTTTGTCCAATTTTAGCAGCAACCCTTATAAGCATGTACGGTGGAATGAAATGAATTATTTTAAATGATAAACATTATTTTAAAGGTATAAAAATGAGGTTCCATTTTATAGGTTCTGAAGGAGGAGCGGGAGATTTTGTTCCAGTTTGAAAGCTGTGTTCCCTTGTGGGGAACCAACCAGGGCCACAGGGCAGTGTTAGATAAGGCCACAGGCAAAAGTGGGTGGAATAACTGCAGACCCTCCAAGTGTCCCTGTTTTCCAAGGACATCCCCGGATTTACAGAAGCCACCCCTGTTTCTGATTTGATCCCGGAATGTTCCACTTTTCCTTAGGCCGTCCCTATTTTCATCGGATAAATGTTGGAGGGTATGGAGTTATGCTACCCCTAATCCAAAAAGATAACTAACTATACAATCTTTAGAAGACACCTGAAGGCTGCCCTGTATAGGAATGTTTTTTTTTATGTTTAACATTTTAAAAAATGTTTTTATATAGGTTGGAAGCTATCCAGAGTCAGATGGGTAGGGTATAAATAATAAAATGGTGATGATGGAATAGGATGTCTCTATTTTCATTGAAGAAATGTTGGAGGGTATGTAATTGCTATGATTCTTACCTTTACACATTCCAGCCACAAACAAATCTTTGTGTGTGAGAGAGATGGTACAGTACCATGACCTCTCTTTTTTTTTCTGACGGCCATTTTGTGCTGGCACCCATGGTTTTAGCACATTATGAGTCCTGGCACCTCATCTTACCATTTGTTTATCTCACACACAACATACATGCAAACTTCTCTCCATCTTTCAAGTCACTTTTCATCAAGCAACAGCACTCAAGGAGAGCATGGACAAATGTGGCCTGGAGAGGCCTAGTACAGCCTGGGAAGGGAGTGAGGTTTAGTGAGGGACCTGAGGGACAAACTGGGAGGTCTGAAGATCCACATTTCACCACGGGAGCTGAGGATCACTGCCCATGTCAGTACATTGTACAACGAAATTACTTCTAGGAAAAATGTCTTGTAATAATATTGGTAGATAGTTTCACGCAGAAGGCATTTGAAAACTCATAATATGCACGTTCCATTTCTAATTTTGCTCGCCTTTTATTGTGTGTTCTATAGAATAGTTTTGAAATGTTCTAATTATGTGTTGAATATGTATATAATGGAAATGGGCTAATCAGAAGGCATGTTGGTTCCCACAATTTTATAAGGAAGGAATTCAAAATGGAGCCACAGATGTGCTAAAGGCTTAGCAGCGCTGATAATAATAAAAACCCATATTTATTCTTTGCAGAGACTTTGTGCTTAATTGCACTGACATGAGTTCATTAGAAATGATGTTTTAAATATTTCAACAGTTATGTAAATCTGAATGTTTATGATTTAACCTTGTCTCCTCAGAATTGTTCTTGACTTACTTTATCATTTATTAATTTTTTTGAAGTTAATCAAAAGCCAAAAAAGAATAAAGTGGATATTATGGGCATGAATGACCTGAACATGAATATTAGATTAGGGTATAACCCACCCGCTCTGATTTATGAGGCTATGATCCTAAGCATGTGAAGCTACTGAAAAATAAGCGTGTATTCATCACTCCCTTTAGCAGTGAACTCAGGTGGGGCGGGCAGATGGAAATGGTGCCAGCAAAAAGCAAGGGGAAGGAATCAGCATGCCTGGGGGATCACCAAGGTTTGCAAAAGTACTGTCATAGGATTGAGGGGTTGATTTGTATGATGCCTATAGCTTCCAGCCAGTAGTTTTCCCAGTAGTGATGTATGGAAGTGAGAGCTGGACCATAAAGAAGGCTGATCACCGAAGAATTGATGCTTTTGAATTATGGTTCTGGAGGAGACTCTTGAGAGTGCCATGGACTGCAAGAAGATCAAACCTATCCATTCTGAAGGAAATCAGCCCTGAGTGCTCACTGGAAGGACAGATCGTGAAGCTGAGGCTCCAATACTTTGGCCACTTCATGAGAAGAGAAGACTCCCTGGAAAAGACCCTGATGTTGGGAAAGATTGAGGGCACAAGAAGAAGGGGACAACAGAGGACGAGATGGTTGGATAGTGTTCTCGAAGATACCAGCATGAGTTTGACCAAACTGCGGGAGGCAGTGGAAGACAGGAGTGCCTGGCGTGCTCTGGTCCATGGGGTCACGAAGAGTCGGACATGACTAAATGACTAAACAACAACATAGCTTCCAGCCAAGCCTGTGATTTAGTATCTGTAAAATTGTAGTGTGCAGTAAAAGGACCTGCTGAAATGGTCAGATCACTTTCTTTGTTAAATTAATGGACCCAGCTGGGCCTGTTAAGCACCCTATGTACATGTCTAAAAGGTTGGCCGATGTCAGGGGCTGGGCAGAGGAGGAATGGTGAAGACCGCCTCCCCATCCTGACCCTTCCAGGGAGGAGGAAGAGGAAGGCAGTATAGATTTATAACAGGGTTTGAGGGAGGTTGCAGCTCAGAGGCAGATGAGGGGGAAAGCTGGGAAATCATGGGAGAGCCAGAGCAACACCTGACTGATACATTGTCATTAGAAAGCATTCCGGATCCTCCATCTCCCAGAACCCAGTGAGCATTAAAAGTAGGACAGCAAAGAGCTTGAAGACAGAGGGCATATAGCAGCACCCGTAGAGGAGACGAATGAAGAAGTGGGAGAGGCGGGGGGTGGGATTCACTTGGGACAACACCATTATCCAAGAGGCTGAGTTCTATAGCCTCCCTCTGTAAATATTGAAATAAAAAAGGACTGTAAGAAACTTTTGTCTTTTTAATTTCCTGGGCAACCAGGTGGGAGCCTCTGACAGCATCCTGACAACCAAGTACAGATGTGTTGCCATGGGAACAACTGGCTGGTGACTGGAGACAACATCATCTTGTAGGTAGGTAGAGCTAGTCTTGGTTTTTAGTATGGGATGAAGCTGGAAGGGGACACCGAGGCTTGAATCCAAAGCGACTGAAGGACCACCCCCATTAGAAACCTAATGGGAAGCAAAAGCTGTTGGAGTGTTAATGCTGTGAGCCCTTCCATCCTGTGCTGTGGTTGAACATATGTGTGCATAAAGCCCTATATCCAAAAGACACCACAGTCTCCAATGACCTTCATTCCAAGAAATGTGAACCCTGGGTAAGCGCTGGTACCCCTGGCGTCTCTTATGGCTTGGAGGTTGGGGTGCATACGATGCTACATTAAAAAACCCCACACACCTTAAAAATAAAGAACAGCCCAATGAGGAATAGAAAAATGGAAAACTCTTGTATATATCCAATGTTGCAACTCCACTCACTCAGCAAACTTCTATGTGTACAACTTCCTCATTCTCTCCTTTCCCCTCTAGCCCCCTATTGCACCCTCAAAACTAAGAACTGGGGGACCCTCTAGAGCAGATTTTTGGGGTGTGAGGGGAGGAGAAGTCCCATTACATAAATAGAATTCTGCTTTTGTAGTGTTGGATACAACCCTTTGTGTTTGTGCTCCTTTTAGAGGGATCTTGAGAATATGCTGGATAAGATATTCTGCAGGCATTCCCTGTACCACTCCCGGTAACATTTGTAAACTTCTGTTCATATGATTAAGTTAGATTGCTTGTTTAGGCACCGTGATAACAGACTACCCCATTTGGAAATGTGTCACTGACATGAGTGCAAAGTGGAGAGTGAGAGAAGGATGGAATGTTGCTGTGTGTCATATGTGTTGTACGCTGATTGGCTGAGGGTGGAATGTGACAGGTAGAACACCTGTTTTGTTTTTTTGTGTGTGTGTGTGCGTGTGTGTATTTGTGCAATGTGACAGTTGGGTTCTGGAGGGGGATGCTATTTTCCCTTGGTAAACCCTGCTCTATTTGACTCACAATAAATGTTTATATCTGATAATTCACTAACATAACAAAAAGTCATATAAACCATAGGTGAATGACAACATCTCTTAATAAATGTACAATAGAATGAAGCCATCCACTGATGATGAGAAAGATGACGATAATGATAAAAATAACAATACTGCCATTGCCATATTCGTTGGTGGATTGTTTTGTTTTATTGCATATTTATTAACAAGTGATGTTTATACTATTATTTTCATTCTTATAAGTTAGATTCCCTGCCACCCTTCACAACACCACTCCTGGGTGGTTTACAACAATTTAAAAACGCAGTATCAAAAATAGGTAAAACAGGTCTAACCACACAAGAACATATCTGAGGTATCAGAGAGAAAAATACTACATCTCCGAAACTAAATCTTGATATCAGGATTTCTTGAACGAAGCCAAGCTTCTGTCAGTTGACCATACTGCAAAAGGGAGAATGTGTTTCAAAGCATGACCCAGTCATCATTCAATGGATGAAAAGACAGTACAGTTAAGGTTTAAAGAAAAAGCACTTCTTAGGCCATGAATCTTCCCAGAACTACATTCCATCATCCCGACAAAAAGAAGGATCTGGCTTCCAATTTCAAAACATTCTGCTATTTGTTATTTAACTTTAAAAAGGTAAAGCAGCCCTGACAGTTAAGTCCAGTTGTGAATGACTCTGGGGTTGCAGCGCTCATCTCACTTTACTGGCCAAGGGAGCCGACGTTTGTCCCCAGACAGTTTTTCTGGGTCATGTGGCCAGCATGACTAAGCTGCTTCTAGCAAAACCAGAGCAGCTCAAGGAAAAACCGTTTACATTCCTGCCAGAGCAGTACCTATTTATCTACAGTGGTACCTCGGGTTAAGAACTTAATTCGTTCCAGAGGTCTGTTCTTAACCTGAAACTGTTCTTAACCTGAAGCACCACTTTAGCTAATGGGGCCTCCCGCTGCTGCCACGCCACCGGAACACGATTTCTGTTCTCATCCTGAAGCAAAGTTCTTAACCCGAGGTACTATTTCTGGGTTAGCAGAGTCTGTAACCTGAAGTGTATGTAACCTGAAGCGTCTGTAACTCGAGGTACCACTGTACTTGCACTTTGACATGCTTTAGAACTGCTAGGTTGGCAGGAGCTGGGACCGAACAATGGGAGCTCACCCCGTCCCGGGGATTCGAACTGCCGACCTTCTGATCAGCAAGCCCTAGGCTCAGTGTTTTAGACCACAGCGCCACCCACTGTTTACGTGAACCAAATTGTCATACTTTTTTCTTCCTGTCACCTTGCCAACAGGGTATTTTACTGTAGCCACCATTACATTTGACTGCTGCTTTTATTCACCACAGTCAATGAGATGCTCTCCCCTGGCTTTAATGGCCTGGTGCAGACATAACATTGCTCAGTTGCTTAACCATCCATGGTTAAGGGATGGGGAGTATCCCATGGGAACAGAGCCTCCCTGGGAACACAAAATGGCCGCTGAAGATGTGGCACAGAAATCATGCAATGAATAAATTGTGTGGGCATTTCTCCCTCTTTTTCAGTTCTGGAGCTAACTACGATTACTATAACATGTGGGCCAATTAACCCCCAAGCAAGGCACAATATGCAAACCCATTTCAAACCATGATAGCAGCCTTTCATCCAATCCCAAGTATGCTTGGTGAAAACACAGTGGCACATGTAGTACTAACCCTAGTTTGTTTTGAAATACCTGTGTGACATGATGGGGTGGGGAAACACGTATGCTCACTGACACCCACAGTCTTATCCATGGTTATCTAAGAAGGAGACAAAAGTTTATGTGCCCACTATTAGGTCGAATGTATTGGCTGCCTCTGGCAGCTGATTTTATGTGTCGCTGTAAAACAGGATGTTGCTAGTTATTTAATTTATTGATTAAAAAGGGATGAGGCATTTGTGAGATTTTCTGCCTCAGGTGCCAAAATAATATGCTCAGTCTTTAGTTCCATGCATTCTGATGGAGGAGGGGGTGCCATTTGCTCCTCTGCCTTAGGTGGCAAAATGTCTAGAGCCAGCCTTGCATGTCTGTAGCAGTGCCATTTAAAAATCTCATCCCAGAGATGAGCAACTGCAAACAGAGTGCTTTCTTCATATTTAAATCTACATATTTTGTTTTATTTTTAAAAATCAATTAATTTATTTGGTTTTTCAGATTGAAATTTTACAGACACATGCTCAACATACAACATAAAAACGAGATTCCAAGGAATCTCTTGGACTTCCCTCCTCCCCTTTGTGGGTCTTATTGTTAATCATTTCCTCCTGTATCTTTTATAATAATCCAAATCTTTAATCTCTCCATTGTATCCAAAATTCACCTTTAAACTACAAGTGATATTCCAATCCTACTAACGATTTTAACAGTTTACAATGGTCTTTAAGATAATTTATAAATTTTCCCCATTCCTTATTAAAATAAGGAATTCCTGATTTCTGATATTTTAAATGCCCCAGCTTCTCTCAAGATCCTTTTTAAACATTTAGTTTGACAGGTTTGAACCACAAAGAGCAGTTTCACAATATCTGAATAAGGTTGAAAAGATGTTGGGTTCCGAGTGACACATTAGTCAGAGAGGTGTGGACGTTTCATTCAGGAATTTGTAAAGGCTGAATCCCTGAAACATTCCTGGGGCATGCTCAGCTAGACTTGAAGAAGAAGAAGAAGAGTTTGGATTTGATATCCTGCTTTATCACTACCCAAAGGAGTCTCAAAGCGGCTAACATTCTCCTTTCCTTTCCTCCCCCACAACAAACACTCTGTGAGGTGAGGGGGGCTGAGAGACTTCAAAGAAGTGTGACTAGCACAAGGTCACCCAGCAGCTGCATGTGGAGGAGCGGGGAAGCGAACCCGGTTCACCAGATTATGAGTCTACCGCTCTTAACCACTGCACCACACTGGCCCTCTGAAGTGAACAAGAGGCAGGTGGAAGGGATGGTGATATAATGGCAGAGAGGAAAGGTCGCCACAGGACAGCCACCCTTCCCTACTAAAACAAACAAACATGGAGCCAAGTCAAGAAAGGTGATCTCCGATTAGCACAGAATATACCTTCTCTCTCTCTCTCTCTCTGACCCAACAAAGGGCACACCTTTCTCAGACACCTCCATTCTAACTTTCCCTAGCTAAACCATACCTTTTGGATTGCAACCAAGATTTATGAACGTACAGTGTGCCAGTGTGTGGTGCTGAAAGAGCAGGTGCTTTACTCCTCCCCTGTTTCTTCTGTCACTGCACTGCTAGGGACCAAACCATGGTCTGACACAGCATTAAGTCCAAACCAAGACTCATGGTTCATTTCCCCACCCCCAAACAAACCATGAGTGATGAGCCAGTGCTCTAAGCTTGGTTACAGCTTGTAGTTTGTAGGTGACAGAAATAAGCCAGGGGCCAGAATTAGGACATAATGCAGCAGCAGGAGCAGGGGAGGGGTGAAGCATTCACAAATTAACAGTTAAACCATGGTTAACCATGGTATTTATGGTCAACCATGGTATTTATGGTCAACCATGGTATTTATGGTCTAAAAAGACACATGACTGTATGAATCACCACAGAAAAATCCACAGGTGTTAGGAGCCCAGTTGGTAGGCTGGGTTGCCTGTAGATGTGGTGGCACAGATGACCTGTTTGCTCTCTTTGACATTAAGTTCTGCACCCCTTGCCCATTCTGTTACCTTAACGTGGCACTGAATTTAAATTAAGGTGCATATCTGACTGAGCATAGGCCACCTTACTTAAGAGGTCATTAGATGATTAGATGCATAATGCATGAAATGCATAATACATACAATCTAGTTGGGGCTGTATATATTAGACTTTAACTTATCATAAACCGCATTGAAAACTCTTTCAGAATTGAACAATTAATTTAATAACACATGAAGCTCCCTTATACTGAATCAAGAAAGGGATATAAAGGAGGTAGCACCAAAAGACCAGAGGGAACAGGTAAAGGTAAAGGTACCCCTGCCCGTACGGGCCAGTCGTGTCCGACTCTAGGGTTGTGCGCCCATCTCACTTAAGAGGCCGAGGGCCAGCGCTGTCTGGAGACACTTCCGGGTCACGTGGCCAGCGTGACGATGCTGCTCTGGCGAGCCAGCACCAGCGCAGCACACGGAAACGCCGTTTACCTTCCCGCTATAAAGCGGTACCTATTTATCTACTTGCACTTAGGAGTGCTTTCGAACTGCTAGGTGGGCAGGAGCTGGGACCGAAAGACGGGAGCTCACCCCGCCGCAGGGATTCGAACCGCCGACCATGCGATCGGCAAGCTCTAGGTGCTGAGGTTTTACCCACAGCGCCACCCGCGTCCCATCAGAGGGAACAGAAGAACAGGCAAAACCTCAGAAAGGTGCTGAAAGATATCTCTGTCCGTAACTATAGTCTAAGTGGAGAAAAGTGCTCAGTGCATTTTGGCTGATCAAAACCTGCACCAGAGACACAAGATTCAGGTTTCTCCTAAGGTTGCAGGACTGTGCTTCCTGCTGTTCTCCAAGCCTCCATCAGGTCTTGGCTGAAGGTGAGGCCCGAATTGCACTATACACTTAAAGCAGCATCAAACAGTTATGGCTTCCCCCAAAGAATCCTGGGAACTATAGCTTGTTAAGGGTGCTGAAAGTTGTTGAGCAGACATAGGCAAACTCAGCCCTCCAGATGTTTTGGGACTACAACTCCCATCACCCCTAGCTAACAGGATCAGTGGTCAGGGATAATGGGAGCTGTAGTCCCTAAACATCCGGAGGGCCGAGTTTGCCTATGCCTGTTGTTGAGAAACCTCTATTCCCCCCCCCACACACACACTGAGCTAAAATTATTACAGTAGTTTAACAATCAATCCCTCTTTCCAGGGAACTCTGATCAGGGGTGTAGCATGGGGGATGCCAGCGAGCAACCCAGCCAGATGGGCAGGATATTATTATTATTATTATTATTATTATTATTATTATACACTTCAATCTCTAATCCTCCTGACCCACAGAATCATGCAGCTCGTATGTGATCACAGGTTCTCATTAGGTAATATTGTATTGCATTATTAAGTTTTTCAAGTTTTTAACACTTGATTGTGAGCCACCCAGAATGGCTGGGGAACTCAGCCAGATGGGTGGGGGTATAAATAATAAATTTATTATTATTATTATTCAAGTTTTATACTGGGCCAATATGTTCTAGGTTAAATCTTCCCTAAATATAATTTATTTAGGGGTGGAGAATGTATTTCAGCCAGAGGTCCAAATTCCCTTGTGGCCAGTATCCTAGAGAGAGGGGGCACATGTCAGTGGTCGGCAGGGCCAGAGGCAAAAAAGTAGGTGGAACCAATAGGTGCTGCTCTTACCTTTTTATAGTGGTCTACCTTCCACTACCTTCCACGGGTGGCGCTGTGGGTTAAACCACAGAGCCTAGGACTTGCCGATCAGAAGGTCGGCAGTTCAAATCCCCGCGAGAGGGTGAGCTCCCGTTGCTCGGTCCCTGCTCCTGCCATCCTAGCAGTTCAAAAGCACGTCAAAGTGCAAGTAGATAAATAGCTACCGCTCCGGTGGGAAGGTAAACGGCGTTTCCGTGCGCTGCTCTGGTGCGCCAGAAGCGGCTTAGTCATGCTGGCCACATGACCTGGAAGCTGTACGCTGGCTCCCTTGGCCAATAAAGCGAGATGATCGCCGCAATCCCAAAGTCATCCGCGACTGGATCTAATGGTTAGGGGTCCCTTTACCTTTTATTACCTTCTGCCCACATGAAATTCAGAGGTTTCTGTGTGCACAGCTCTGTATATTCCATCCAGGAAAGCATTATCCCAAAGACATGTTCCAGCCAGACGAAAGCAGCTAAGAAGGGTGCAGAGCAGGATGAATAAGGGGTGTAGTTTGTAGAGGGGGCTTCACCTAGTGAGAGTCTCAAGCACCAAATACAGAGGTATGTGGTTGTGTGGCTCATTGGTCCCCCATTCTGGAGTGTCTTGGATTCATTCCTTTATAGATGCTTTGTGTTGCCTTTGGATGTTTCAGCGAAGAACTGCCTCCATCGATTAACGCTTCTTTAATGTTCTGAGGGGATCTTAGCTTTTATTGGGAAACCACAACACAGAAGAAAACCTAATGGCTTCTTTTACTGATGCCCACTTCTACTGGTCCTGAAGGACGAACTTAAGCGATGGGAGGAAGACATTTTGGCGGGGGTATATGCTAAAGAATATGATTACTTAATTAGCGGCATCTATTAACTCCGCGCTATATGTAAGCTGATGTGGAGCTTAACAGCGGTGTTATTAATCATGTCTTAATGTAAAAGCGTAACGCACACGCTGCTTTGTAATGTTCTTTCCAAATAGTCCCTGTGGGAATCACAACTTTATTTCATTAAAATGCCTCCCTGCTGTTAATTGATCTTAGGAAAATGTGAACAAATTAACTATGCTTTGAGAGGCTCGGGTGTAAATTTTCTAAGCTCGCGCACTTCGGAGCTGCGGATTAAGAATGCTATGGATCACTCTTCCCCACTGCGATGAACAGCGGGCAGTGCTCTGGCGTTGCTGACCTGGTTTAATTAATAACACTTGGGTAATACGTTTTGTGTGCCAAAGGTTAAAGAAAGGGAAAAGATTGTTTGCAAACTGTGGTGTTTTTCATGCCAGCTGGGACACAGTAGGAATTTGGGTCACGGGCAATTAATTGCAAGTTTTAATGACTCCTCTTGTGTGAAACAAATGCTATTCTTTAGCAGGGATGATTGATGAATATTAAGCTCAGTTGATTTTGGAAAGATTAAAGTCTCAGTATTTTGTTTAAAAGTGCACAAAAGACCCAGGGTAGTAATATATATAATTTTCTCTCTATATTAACAGATATTGTGGGGGGAAACCATATATTTTCTCCCCTGCATGTGGTTTTCTGTGAATAAGTACATTAAAGAAAGCATCATCAATAAAAGGAGGAAAAAAGATTTGGTCGCATTAAGTAGTTATCGCTATCCTCAGGGAAGTGCATTTGCGTAGTCTGAGAGTACACTTTTTAAACACCTTTTAAGAAACCTCTAAGTAGTATAATTATTGGTCAGTTGACACAAAGCTATAAAGTTCACCAATGTAACAAAATGGTATCTAAATTTAAACCCATGCCCCTGATTCAACTATGCTGAGCCTGTTCCTCAGATACCGTAAATGAAAAACCACATGTGTAGGTCATCCTCAGCCCTGTCTGGCTGTTGGGGCTATGCATATAGAAACCCAGTTATAAAATTAATCGTAGCTTCAACCAGCTTTTAGAGGAGAGAATGGGGAAGCAGCACTAATCATTCCTCCCAATTCTTTCTGCCTCCAAGAAGTAGACTGATGCTATTTGTGTGGGGGGCCAGGGAGCAATGGCCTCGAGCACAAAATTCTGAGGTTGTGCAACCAGGCACCCCCATGCAGGAGCCAGCTTCCATGGGGATGCCTGCCCCACCCTGGCAAAGGTGGCAGAACAGCCCAGGCCCACAGTGAACAAGCGTATACAGAGGTAGGTGGGTAAGGAGCAACCCCAGCATAGCATGGAACAGTGCTCCTCTTTGTGGGCATGGGGGGGGGATTTGCCCACCAAGGGCTGTGTCAGCTGGCCAGGCTCCCCCCTGCGCAGGCAGGCGGTGTAACATGGCCCCACTTGGCTCTTGTGGTGGTGGAGCACTCCAGTCATGTCAGCAGCTTGCCTGCCCCGGGCACCAGCAACCCATGCTACACTGCTGAACATACCCTCCAAAATTCCTCAGGTGAAAATAGGGACATTTCTCATCCCCCCTCCAACTAACCCTCCTTGACTCCCCATTTTTTGCTTCCCCCCTCCACAGAGCATCTCCTATCGAAAGAAGGGTAAGTGCCACAACCACAACCACTCAGGACACGGCCTGAGAAAACCTCTTAATCCCAAACTTATTCTATTTAATTCTTTGGTAAAAATACAAAAAGGAAAAACACACACCAAGAAATAAATTGTAGAAAAGGGCAAGATTAGACACAGATGAACAAAGTATTATTTTTTCCCCATAACCAAGACCCCTTGCACTCTGCTACCCCTTTCTTCCTGCCCCTCAGAGCCAGCGTATCACATAGGGCTGGGTCTTGGTGGCAGGAACCTCTCTTCCTCCTTGCCCACTCTCCAGCAGCTGCTATGAACTGCCCAAGGGAGGAGGCCAGCAGCGGCAGCCATGGAGAGGCAATGGGATGCTTCCTCGCAGTCGCAGCTGCCGCTCAGAACAAGCTCCTCCCCCACCCCGAGGTTAGTAGTGGCAGCACTGGCAGGGGACATAGGGACATTTCGGGATCAAATCAGAAGCTGGGATAGCTTTCATAATTCCAGGACTGTTCCTGGAAAGTCGGGACACTTGGAGAGTATGCAAGTATCTTACTGAGGTTATAAGCATGCAGCTCTTTCTGCTCTTTGCCCTGGACTGAGCATTCCAGTTCTTACCATATGGATGCTAATATAAAAGTAAACAGAGACCATTTCATATGGATTAGATAATGTATCTTTCATACTTCTCTAAATCTAATTAAATTTGTCAATTTCTTTTGTACATAATTGAATCATTTTTATTATTTTTAAATTTTTTGGAATCAAATATGACTCCTGTCCATACTTTCCCATTTACTAGTTATTTCAATCCTGGCAATCTTATGCTAATAAAAACTGTAACAAGTCCGTGTTTTACTCCTTTAAGCAATCCCTTATTCTAGTTAAGCAATGCTCAGTTGGTAGAGCGCGAGACTCTTAATCTCAAAGTCATGAGTTCAAGCCTCACGTTGGGCAAAAAGATTCTTGCATGGCAGGGGGTTGGACCAGATGACCCTCACAGTCCCTTCAACTCTCCAGTTCTGTGATTCTATGAATGATAGCTCTGGATTTAACGGCATGTCATAACCCAAGGTTAGATTAAACTACGGTGCTTCCTTCCAGAAGATCACAACCTTCACATGTAAGAAATACTTACATATGGGTGTATTAATCACAGAGCTGAAAGAAAAACACGGGAAAGAAATGCACGCACATTCAAATCCACAAACATTCAGCCACAGCATCTCTTTCTCTGAAATAGTCAATTGGAACTGAGTCTTGGCCTTGGTCCAGTGAAACCCAAATCCAACTGTGTGGCTCTAGACATGTCAGATCAGAATAGGATCCCTCCTCCCAATTGTGGCCTCCACCTTTCTAAATTAATTACTTCTTACACATCTGTATCTAATCCATCACAAGACACCCCTAAAGACCACAGGGTTGAGTATATCAGCTTATTTTGATTTTTCTTTTTCTTTTTGAGAAGCTGACTGTGCTGTGCAGGTGGCAGGCAAAAATTTGCATGGGATGTGCAGGTTGGAAGTGGTACCCTGCTTTCAGTTTAACAGCTAGACCGCTATATGAAGCAGAGCTGGACAGCCTGTGGCTCTAGGGCCTTCTGCAACCGTCAGCCTAATTTTCTGTAGCCTGCGGCTTAATTTAAAAAGCCTTCTACACGTGATCAGTTCAGACTTGAGGCAAGAGCAGCCTGTGCCTCCTATGGCAGGCTACTGGAAAGGGAAAGAGAGAAAAAGAGAAAGGTGGAGCTGATGGGAACCGTAATCTAACATAATCTGAAAGGCCCTCTATGATTGCTTTACCTGGAATGAAAGCATACTCAAAAGGGTCTTCCATTTTCTGAGAGGCCTCTCAGGTCTGTTCTCACTTCCTGTGCGCTCTCAAAACTGCAGTCTGAAGCTCCACACCAGACTCACAGTTCTGAGTTTATCTTTCAATGCTCTGCAGAATTTAAAAGTCTGGTTTTTTTCCCCTGTCCATTGCCGACAAGCATACTGCTGCAGGAGTTTCAATGAAAAAAACAACAATCAATTATGAAGGCCATGGATAAAAGGGTTTTGCATGGTGACAGAACAAACAGATTGGAATAGTTTGCTTTAGACGGAGGGAGGAGAGGAGGAGGAGATATGATCAAAGAGCACACAAAGCAGCAAATGACATTAAGAAGGTGGATTGGGAACTTTTGATAGCGGGAAAAGCCAACATTAAATAATGTCAAAAGTGTCAGATTCAAAACAGATGAAAGGACATTTTGATTTGAGCCTGTTGTGGCAGTCATCGCCATTGGCCATCCTTTCTGTTTCCCTGACTTCACAGAGCAGAGGGTAAGTCGCGTATTGTTATATGTGTTGTACCTTTTTCAAAAGGTGTCTCAATGGGAACATCATGAAGGCTGATCGTGTTTTGCTGTGGATCTGTCTGTGTCAGTTATGGCTGCCAATGAACTCGTGGGATTTCTTCTGTAAACATGCCACGTGTTTTCACCCTGGTGATATTAACCTACCAATCAAAATTGGGGTAAGAAAACCAACCAATACTTCCTCACCTTTACTCTTCTGAAGCCCCCAGGCAGCTGTGTTGTGAGCTTTGCAGAGGGATGAAGAAATCGTTCTCAGAGACTTGTTGAATCTGTGACCACTGTGGACTGGGATATGTGTGCTAGAGAATAGAGAATTATGTGGAGTGGTTTGGGGGTCTGTTAAAAGAGAAGTATCAAATGTAGCATGAAATGACTCATTCCATCGGCTTGTGCAATGGAGCCGGCCCCTCCTGTCCCTGTGTATTCCCCTCTTCAAATCTGCTCCAGAGGACTGGAGTGGGGTGTGTGTGTCCCAGAACAGATTATGTGGGTGTGCATAGGGAGGAGAAGGGTAAATGTTGGGTGGATGATGCCTTAACAATCCAGTCTCCACGGACAGTGGCCTCATGAGGATGGTCACTGCAGTCATTCAAGTGGCTAAAATGGCATGGGGTTAGAGCTGCACACCTTCTGACTATTAATGTACGCAATGACAGCAGCAAGGATACCACTGGCCCAGAGATGGAAAGAAGACAAGGTTCCAACCAGAGACGAATGGCTAATGAAGATGATGAACTATGCCGAAATGGCGAAATTGACTGGAAAAATCAGAGACCAGGACGAGAAGAATTTTAAACAACTAAAAACTTTGTAAACAACTAAAAACTTTGGCAGGATTTGAGTCATGCTTGTAATGCACGAAAAACCATGGGAAAATGGATTAATTTTTCTTTCTTTTTTTTACAAATTAGAGAAAATAAGATAAGCAGGTGGGGGGGGAAGATTGATAATGGTAACCATGGAAGGGCGGTCAAAGGATATGGAGAATCCTAAATGAAGAGGTGAATGGTGTGTTTGAATTTATTTATTTTTCCTTTTTTCCTTTTTCTTTTTTTTTAATAAGTTTTTATTGTTAAAATAGTTCATCATTAATACACATATACAAGCATACAAACATACATTTCATACAATCCTTAAAAGTGTTCAAACATACTTACACTCAATCCCACAAATAATTCCTTTCCCCATCACCATCCACCACCCCTCACCCCACCTTTGTGTTTGACTTCCAATCTACTCAATTACAATTTCTTTCCACTTCTATTACTTTCTTTCACACACCTTTAGCCTAATTTCATACTTCTTTTCTATTACACATTGTTATCCATCTTATTTGATATTTCAGTATTTGAAACGGAACTTGTTTATTCTAATAGGAGTTCTGATTTTTCGATATGATTTTGCAAGTATCTTTTAAATACCTTCCAGTCCCTATCTATCTTTTCTTTTGAAATCCTTCCAATTTCTTCCATTGTTTTGGATATATTGTAATACTCCAATAATTTGGCAAGCCACTCTGTTTTTGTCGGTATTATACCACTTTTCCAGTTTTTCGCAATCAATAGCCTTGCTGCTACTGTTGCGTATAAATATAAGGTCTTATCTTCTTCCTTTAGGCTTCCTGGTACTGTTCCCAATAGAAAACCTTCTGGTGTTTTCCTAAATGAGTATCTAAACATTTTTTTCATTTCATTATATATTATTTCCCAAAATTGTTTGATGTTTAAACAATTCCACCATATATGTATCATAGTACCTTTTCCCGTGTTGCATCGCCAGCAGACATCGCTACAACTTTTATTCATTTTTGCTATTCTTTCAGGTGTTAAATACCATCTATGTTGCATTTTAAGGTAATTTTCTTTCAGTATATAACACATAGTGAATTTCATATCTTCTTTCCACAATTTTTCCCATTGTTCAAACATAATATTTTTCCCAATATCTTGCGCCCATTTAATCATTGATGCTTTAACCAATTCATCCTTTGTTTCCCACTCTAAAATCAGATTATACAATTTAGATATATTTTTTTATTTTTCTTGTATTAAGTATTTATCAAATTTTGATATTTCTTTTTCAAATCCTAACTTTTTGTCTTTCGCTAATCTATACTTAATTTGAATATATTGGAACCAATCACTAATATGAGCTTTAATTTCTGTGTAATCCTTTAATTCCAATTCTCCGTTTTCTTCCTTTAATACAGTTTTATAGGTAGCCCAATTTTCTTTCATATTTAATTTTTTCACTGTGACAATTTCTGCTGGCGATTCCTACCAGGGAGTTTTCGGTTCTAGGAGTCTTTTATATTTCTCCCATATTTTATATATAGATTTTCTGATTATATGCCCTAGGAAGCCTTTATGTACTCTCACTTTTTCATCTATTAGATAGGCATGCCATCCAAATCTCGTCTCTATTCCCTCTAAATCCAATACAACTGAGTCATCTAATTTGATCCATTCCTTTAGCCAGGTCAGACCCACCGCATCGTGATATAACTCCATATCTGGGAGACCAAATCCTCCTCTCTCCTTCTTATCTATCATTATTTTGTGTTTTATTCTTGGCTTTTTCCCTGACCATACAAATTTAGCCAAATCGGTGTGTTTGAATTTAAATTTGTTATGTAAAACACACACACACATTAAAGAGCTGCACACCTTCCCCCAAAACCCTTCAAAAACCCTTATTCTTAACTATTCTGGTTCCTGGCACTCAAAGCCCATTCCTGCAAACTGTTCATGCCCTTCATCATATGCAAGGCTGGGAGAGAGAAATGGTGGCTGCAACAGAACCCCCAGTTTGGCATTGGTTGGATCTCTATGCAAGTGATAACCATAAGAACGAGACCATATCTGGGGAGCAGGACAAGGACAAGTAGAGAGGTGGACACTGGGCTGCTTCAGCATCCAGTGAATATCCAGAGTGACTCCCAAGATAGTGAGAAGAGGCCAAGAGAAGAAAAACCAACAACAAAAGTAAGTGTGCATAGATTTGCAGATGAGTATAGTTATTGAAAACGTAGTGCTCTATTTCGGCTGGCTCATGCCTACAAGCAGTAGAAGACTCATGGCAAAGCTGGGAGCAGTGTCTGCATAGAACACCCTCCACAGCTATTTCAGAGAAAACACAATAATTAATGTATAATGTCAATGTTACAAGTTTCTTGGGGGGAAATGATGGAAAGCAAAATTAATCTGCTTTCCATGGGGGGGGGGGGAATAAACCGAAAGGAGGCAAGTTAGCTCTGTTAGTTTTATATTTTCTTCTTTTTTTATCAAACTGCACAAAGTTTGAGGGATTTCTCTCTCTCAAAATTAAGTTTGCCATTCTGGGCATCTTCCTATCTGTGGCACATGCTGTTCCTTCTACGGAGAAGCTGGCTCTTTGACTAAAAGAAGGAAGAAGGAAGCCAGGCGGGCAAGCCAAGCCTCCAGGCTTTCCACAGCACCATTAATGTCTTGCTTTCCGCCCAAAAGTGCACCGTAGAGGAAATAAATGTGTAATTATATTTCCAAGACAATCCACTTGTAGGTGAATTTATTGGGTGCAATATAAATCAAAGTGAGCGTCTTTAACAAGCATTTTCGTTACTGACTTGTGGCTAAAAGAGATAAACAAATATGCTAATGGCCCTTCTGAGGTGCATTTTGATCAAATGTTTCTGGAGGCAAAGCATGCGCTCCTCGGATATTGAGCGATGGGTCCCGTCCTCCCATGAGATGTGTGGCTGCTGCATTGAAAGGGGTTCAGGAGAAGGTCACGAGACATTCCTGGTGGAGGAAAATGAGGGGGGTTTGCCATCTTTTGCTATCCCCTGCAGCAAAGCTACTCTGGAAGGTTGTGGGACCATCCAGAAGGGAGGGGCTATAGGGAAAAGGAGGAACTAATTAAAATCACCCCTCCTTCCCTATGACAGGGGCCTCTGCAGGATTTCAGTTCCTTCTCTGAATGAAAGGAACACTGGATCTATCCCATTATCTGTAATAATAATAATAATAATAATAATAATAATAATTTATTTATATCCTGCCCTCCCCAGCCAAGGCCGGGCTCAGAGCGGCTTACAAGCAATAATAAAAACAAGATGAATGATTACAACTTAAAAACAAAAATAAAATACAACATTAAAATAATGGAACATTAAAATATTAAAATGTAGCCTCATCACAGGAGGAGAAGGAAAAGAAAAAAGAAAGAGAGGGAGGGAGGGAGGGAATCAAATTGGCTCCAAGCCAAAGGCCAGGCGGAACAACTCTGTCTTATAGGCCCTGTGGAAAGAAATCAGATCCTGCAGGGTCCTGGTCTCATGAGGCAGGGCGTTCCACCAGGCCGGAGCCAGAGTTGAAAAGGCCCTGGCTCTGGTTGAAGCCAATCTAACTTCCTTATCTGTAGGAAGGTATTGTTAGCTATTTGTGAGGAACCTTGTCAGGGACACGTCCAGCAGAGAGGAATCTCCAGAGGAAGAGGAATTGGCTGCACCTGAGTCTCCATCTCCAGAGGAGGAGAAATTGGCTGCTGTCAGGTGTGCGTGCAGGAACCAGGCCCTGTGACCAATAGGACTTTGCAGGACTGGGGCCTTCCTAAGTTTGTTCTGGAGAGGCAAGGCGCAGCCTCACAGGTGAGGCCGATTGGTAACTCACAGCACCTGGTGGCAAGAGCTGGGAAGGGATATAAGGTCAGCATTTCCCTTCGGTTCTTTGCCACAGCAACTTGTTTCCTGCCTTGCTGCATTTGGCTTCTTGCTTCCTGATCCTTGAACCTCGGCTTCGTGACTCCTTGCTTCTTGATCCTCAGACCCTTGACTTCCTGACTCCTGGCTTCTGGACCCCCATTCCTGCTCCCACCCCGCCATCTTGCCCCTAGTCCTGACGTCCCCTGTCGGGACTTTGATCGCCCGTGAACCGGACCGTGACATCTGCACCTGAGTCTCCAAGAAGTAGGAGGTGATCACACAGGGCCCCCGGACGTTTGACGGTCTATTGACCCTGTGCCACCACTGTAATTGCGTTCTTCGCTGCCACCAACCCGTTTCTCACGGGTACACACGGAGTCCAGTCAGTTGGTAACATTAACAAATAATCAAGTTTTTTATAGGTATGAACAAGCTTATGGTTTCAGTTAATTTTTCTTGGCAGTTTCTTAATCTTAGTTCCTTAACTGTCTTATTTGTTCCGAACAACTTCAAACTGCTTATCCCAACTATCTATCTATCTGACTCCATCTAACCATTCCTCTCACTCTCTCATCACACAACTCGACCAACCCACAGACTATTCCTCCCTCCTCCTCCTCCTCCAACTCCCAACTCTCAACTGACTCTCACACAACTGCCCCTCTAACCCTAACTCCTCCTATCAGTTTCCACTGGCCAATCACATCACTCTCATTTTAACCTTTTCCTTATGACCCACCTAGGAGGCAAACGCCACACGGAGCAAGTGATTAGAGCAGAGGTGGGGGAAGATGTGGCATATATCTAGCCTTGGGAAGGGTCAGAAGCCAGTTGAGTCAACTGACTGGCGGCAAAGGATGAGTTGTGGAAGCTTGCTGTAAGTCTGTTATTGAGAAATAAACCTCAGCTACTTAAACTGCCAGCGTTCCGTGTCTTGTTTGGAAGAAGCGCTAAACCTGACAAACATATATGCCTTACAGAAATAGTTTTCTGTTTACTTGTCAGGCTGGCAACAGGTGTTATTTACAAACTCCTCCAGACAGCACCTGCAGGAAGTCCCCACACCTCTCACATTAACAGTCAAGGCAGAATGCACAGAATATAGCCAGCCAACCACAGGAGCCAACTCTTGGGGGCTGAGAGGACTTCAGCCCCCCAATAAAATATCTGAGGGGGCTGGGCTCCCCAAAGTTGGTGGGGATTGCTATTTAAATGGTGTGTGTGTGCACTGTGTCATGTGATCAATTATGTAGGGTGGGTCTTACCTGGCCCTACAGAGGGGATGTGGATGGCGCTGAGCTTCTTGGGATTGCCAATCGGAAGGTCGGCGGTTCGAATCCATGGGATGGGGTGAGCTCCTGTTGCTCTGTCCCAACTCCTGCCAACCTAGCAGTTCGAAAGCACGTCAAAGTGCAAGTAGATAATTAGGCACCGTTGTGGCGGGAAGGTAAACAGCATTTCCGTGCGCTCTGGTTTCCGTTACAGTGTTCTGTTGTGCCAGAAGCAGTTTAGTCATGGCCACATGACCCAGAAAGCTGTCTGTGGACAAACGCCGGCTCCCTTGGCCTGAAAGATGAGCACCACAACCCCATAGTCACCTTTGACTGGACTTAACCATCCAGGGGTCCTTTACCTTTTCTTTTTTTTTAACCTGGGCCTCCCCAATATTTTATTCCTGTTGGCATCCCTGCAACCAACTCCTAACTGCCAATTGCCTACTGCCAACTGCCAATTGCCAACTGCCACCTCTTTTCCCTAATGCCATCTATTCTACAGATACTAACAGGTATATGTAGTACTGTTGCTTACGTTTGCCCTCCCAGCATTCTACCTGGTTTCTTAGAGTATTTTTTATTCAGAAAATTTCTCAAAGTTCCTTCCTGCTCCCTCGAGATGTTTGTGCATACTGTATATGTAAGACAACCTACACTTGGGCTCCAATTCATCATTCGTGGCATTCATGTGATGTAGGTATAATTGGTTTAATTAAGGCTAATGATCATCTACCACTGCTGAATAGGTACCCCAGATGGTATATGCCATATGGCATGCCCACAGTGAGAGGTGCCTTCAGAAAAACACCAGAGCAGGGACAGAGTGGGTTGCCGGGGTGGGGGTGGGGGTGGTGGGAGGCGGCCAAACAAGCCAGAAAACAATTGTGGATTAAACTGGAAAATCCTTGATTCAGAGCAATTGTTGATTATCATAAAACTGGGACGCATGTTGGAAAATAAAAGAGAAGCAACATTTGCTTTGTTTGTTGCATTGCCATTAGTCTCCTATTTCTCGGCTTTCCCTGAAGAGGTTGACAGGGCATTTGGAGCCCCATTCAGCAAGCAAAGCACTTTGCACAACATTAATTAGGATAATTTGACAGTATCCTAGGACCAAAATCTCCTGTGACTGGGTAGCAAAAAAAATGACAAAAAATATTTATATTTTAATCTACCCAGGTATAACAGAGGATCACATCAGCCTTTGCAGAATTGGAAGGATTTGAAGGGACTGTAAGTTAGCTGAAAAGTTTAGGTCTTCCATGTTGCAACCGTCTAGAGTTTGCTATTGATGAGAGTTTTACAACAGTGTTGCGTGGTAGGCAGGGTTGGAAAAGAATGGGCTAAGTATTCAGGGATAGGAGACAAATGAGTGCTGAATGCCCCCCTCCAATGTATTTAAGGCACCAGAGGATCCTGGGTTCAAACCTACAGACCTTACACCTATAGTAGTGTAGCAGAACTAAGCTGAAATTAGTTGCCATTTTTTTGAGAATCTATTTCCCAGCACTGCAAAGTAAGAGAGGGAGGGAGGGAGAGGGGGCAGGGTCGATTAGGGCTAAAATTCAAGAAGGAAAAGGATGCAGATACAGCAGCCAGGAGAAACACTGTTATTAAACAGGGTTAAAAAGAAATAAAGAAAAGATGACTATTTATGCAATTTAAGTGCTACAGGGAAGCATTTCTGTCTCGTTAAATAGCTATTTTTGATTTGAAAAACAAATTGAGAAATAGCGTACTAGTTTCCTTGGACAAGATGTTTATATATTTGTTAAATTTATAACCTGCCCTTCCCCATATTTAAAACGTTTATAAACATTAAGAAGATCTAACAACAGTTACATACTCTCAGAGTTGATAGTTTCAAGGCTCCCAGGAGCAATCTTTTTCAGCCATTGAAAGCATTGGTGAAAAGAGATGTTTTTAACTTCCTCCTGGCAAGGCATTCCGCAAATGAGGAACCACAACTGAGAAGGCCCTGTCACAGCTCAGCACCAACCAAAGTACACAGTGGTGGCAATGTAAACTACTATATCAGGTCAAATTCATACTGTGCATGTTTTATTTGAGCCAAAATTTAGTAAAGCTGCACAGCATTAACTATATATTAGCTGTTTCATCCCCAGATTTCAATGCATGTGAATGCCTTATTAGTTTTCTCTCACTTTTCTTTGTGGGAATACACAAATTATTCAACGTTGCTTGAATTGCACCTGCCTGATAATTTATGAGCGCTTGGTTCAGAAACATCAATTTCTTCATTTTAGGAATTCTTAGGAAGAATTCTCTTGTCCAGGAGAGTGACTTGATCAATATTAATTGGCTCCGTGAATTGGTTTCTAGAAAGGAAATTCAACGTCCCAGTGGGATTATGGCATTAATTTTCCCTGTGAAAACACACATTGGGTAATATTACTCTAATAAATTCCACACACACACACTGTCAGATGTAGTGTGGTCCAAAGAAAAGCTCTAGCACTGTCTTTTATGTCACTAATATTGTAGCGGACCAAGTTCCAATGAGCGGAGGTCAATACAGCATCTGTCTTTTTTTATCTTTCATACCTACTCATGCATACTGTGGAGCTATTTCAGGAATCTCTGGGGTATAGCATAAGCTGGGATTTAATGGCTTGGAACCTACCGTTTCAAGAGATATTTTGACAAGCTGCTAGCCTGTAGCACCTTATTCATCTCCCTCCCCCTCCGTCCTTCACAGAGGGGAACTAAATTGGCAGCAGATTTTACATGCCAACTTAACATCTCTCCTTTGTAGAGATCCTCCAATTGAAAACTGGTGATGTGCATAATTGAGCAACTGTAGACTTTGCAAGAGCCATTCTCCCCTTTATTGTATTACAGACACCTGCAGCGCTTCCTAATATGAGCTTACAGAACTACAAACACACATGGAGAGACAGTGGAGAGGCAAGAAGGGACTTTGCTACTCCTATAGGTAGCTAGATCTTCACTGTAGTGGTTAGAGCAGCCTTTCTCAACCTGTGGGTCCCCAGATGTTGTTGAACTACAACTCCCATCACCCCTAGCTAGCAAGGCCAGAGCTCAGGGATGATGGGAGTTGTAGTCCAACAACATCTGGGGACCCACAGGTTGAGAACCACTGGGTTAGAATTTTGGACTAGATCCTGGGAGACCAGGGTTCAAATCCCCACTCAGCCATGAAGCTCACCTGAGGCCAGTCACAGTCTCTCAGGATTGTTGTGGGGTTAAGTTATGGGGGGGGGACTATTTATGCCACCTTGAGCTCCTTAGAGAAAGATGTGAGATATAAATGCAGCAAAGAAATAAAAGGAAAAAATCAAACTCCTATTTCCAACTAGAACCAACATTGCAGAGATAAAGCAGGAAAAACAGATTTCCTAAGAAAATCGAACTTGGTATATCCAGATTTAATGGGAAAAATTCAGCTCCATGCAAGGGTTGGAAGCACATATTTTCACAAGAATTCCTACTGTATATAGTTCATTTGTCTCCTTGTTTACACCCAGAACAAAGTGGAGTTTGAAGATGGTGCATGGGAGGTGTTTTTGCTCTCGGAAAAATAGTTTATTTAACGTAAGAATAGTGGTTGCATACTGTACACAAACTATGTGTGATTTCAAAACATATTCTCGTGTTCTACTTCCTTGCCCCACCCTTCATCCCTGAGAGCCTTCACAAGGGAGCTGCTTCCAGAAGAACTCTCTAAGGGGTGTCCTGGCCTTTGGGGTTAAGGTTTTAACAATTGGGGAAGGAGTTACTAGGTACTAATGTCATCAGCCCTGGGGCTATTTGGGGATGCTAACTTATTGGATATTTTCCCCAACCGATTGGTGAGCCTTATGCTTAAATTTTGAGGTATGCTAAATATACTGTTAATTGTTGTTAGTGGCCTGTTGTATTGTGTGTTGTCACTGGTAGATAATTTATTTGCAATCAACGGAGACTTATAACATTTTATAACAACTAATATTAATAAAAGTGCACATTAATACAATTGAAACACAGAAATATATTAATGCTATTTTCTTTAAACTCGGTTCTTCTTTCTCTGGAGGTTAAAGGAACACCAAAAGGCTATTCATAGAATCATAGAATTACAGAGCTGGAAGGGACCACAAGGGTCAGCTAGTCAAAGCTTATGCAATGTGTAGGGATGATCGCTGGGTGTGGAGCACACTCCCCACCCGCAGGCAGCCTCAGCTGCCCGCACACGTGACCTCTCACAGATAAAGCCACAGCTATCTGATCATTTTGCCCTCTGTCTAACCTTTTGCAGTCTCAGTAGTCTGCGGTGTCCTATCTGTAACCTTTGTCTCTGAGACCTTTGTCTCCTTCGTCATACACTGTGCAAGGGGAAAATGATGCGGTGGAAACAGGTGCCAAAATAGCTTTGTACCACCCCACGATCTCGGGACTGGAAGATGTGTATCTGCCTGGGTTTGCTTATTGTGTCAATAAAAGGAGCCTCCACAGAGCTGGCCGGCAGCTTGCTTGCAGCTCACCTGTGCGCAGCTCACCTGCATTATCAACTCCTGCCTCATGTCCTTCACTTCAGCGATGCAGGAATATTTTGCCCAACATGGGGCTTGAACCCATGACCCTCAAATTAAGAGTCTCATGCTCTACCAACTGAGCTATTGCCAAATGATGATATGCAGTCTTATTAAACAAGTAGCATCAGGATATGATTTAGTAGCACTATGTGAGAGGGTTTACAACAGAGCACTATGCCATTGTTAATGCCCGCCCACTACCCCACATTTGTAGAAAGAAAGAGAGGTGGGGAAAGCCTATCCTCCTCACAGAGGGGAGGTATTGTAAGAAGGAACCATTCCCACGGCAGCAGGGGGGCGGTGTTCGGCCCCCTGTGTCATCTCCCGGCTGCCGTGCCGCCCCCTTGGCTGGCCAGCCAATAGGGCTGGTCTGGGGGAGGGGCTTAGCCACATTCAAACCGCCACGGCAGCCTCCACGCCTCATTCAGCCCTCAGAAGATGACAGATCACCCACCCACCCGCCCTTTAGGGTAGGTTCATGTTTCTGACATTGCTATGGACTTTGGTTGGTCGCCTTGGTTGTCCAGGGGGCCTGGTAGGAGTTTTTATCCATTTGGCTAATTGGCACCAGCCTCTTGGTTTTTCGTCTACCTTGTAGCAATTCATCACAACTTTTCTGGTATTGGTGGCTAGGCATTGGAATATGTGTTGTGCATTGGTGGGCGGGGTTTGGCCATCACCTACGCCGCCCCTTGTAGGGTATTCTGTTAAAGGAATCCAACAGTTGTGGATCATGTCCGATGCCCTGTCGGTGGCTAGGGCCATGGCACAACCTCTGGTGACATCAGGGGAAGTTTCCAGTTGTATTTGCATCAACAAGCTCCTCCCACTGTTTGTTAACCTTAAAAAGACCCCCATCTGCACGGGTGGGGTCATGTATAGGTTGTTTTATCCAATGCCTAAGCCAATACCACTCACATGCTGTAACCAATAAAAGTTGTGGCCTTTTTCAGCCCAATTAACCTAAATTCTTGCGTACTTGTCTCTTATTTACCATCACACGGGTTAGGTTCCTCAACTCACAAAACTTGTAAACAGAAAAAAAGAGAAGAGTTTTGCTGCTAAGAAGCTTCCACTGCTAGCTTTGTTTTGTCCCATGGTAGTGGAGGAAAGATGGCCATTGCTGCATTTGTTTGCAATTGATAACATGACGGGCACTATATTTTCTGGGTGCCTGTCTGTGTTCACCATCTCCCCTCAATCTCTCACACATTGCTCCCAAGTGACTCAACCTCTGAAGCATAAAGGGTGATTCCAGTCTGGGAGCTGTACAGCACCTTGGTGCTGAATATTTTTAAAGATACTGTACTCTTTTAGTTTAAAGGTGGCCCAGATATGGATATCAAAAGCTGATCCTCCAAGGACATGTAGGTCCTAGCATCTGTGTGAGCATGCCTCACAATCATGCCAGCCCTGTATGTAAGTCTGTCTTTAAAAAATCTAATATAGATGGTTGCGTTTCAGGTTTTCTCTAATAACCAGCAGGTCAGTCATAAAGTCTGCATGTAGTTTTTTTCTCTAGTAACAACAGATATGCACAAACCCCAAAAATGTATTATTTTTGCCTCACCTAGCTGTCTAGTCACTGAAATTTTATTTCCCCTTTAAAGTAGCGACATGTCAGAAGAACATACACTCATTCAAACAAGCGTATCAGAAAAGCCTGGGGAAAGAGTGGAGGGAAACCATTTGTAGGAGCAGGGGACATAATGTTCAATATCAAACATAAAAAATAGTCAGAAGCAACCTTGCTTAAGAATTCATCAATGTTTGTCAGCAGGAAAAAGAGGTGATTAATTTTTTTGTTCATTTTGCTAAGAGATGTATATAATTATTTTTTCCCCTTTAGCTTTGCAAGCTCATAAATATCTCCAGGCTGGTTCTCTCCCCGTTTTTGTTTCTAACCCTTTCTGATAGAAGAATTGTTTGTTGAAGCAATGCAAACTTGTGCAAATATGCATGAACTTCAATCATGCTCGTGGGTTTTAGTAAGATTTAACCAACCAAGGGAGAAATGGGTTCACTAGTCTAGAACTCATGTATTTGAAGCTTTGGGGCTTGTGATCTCAAGCCTTTCTTTTCTCAGCCACACCACACAACTGCACAACCCCACAGTCCCTGAAGCGGGAGAAAAAGAGAAGCGGGAGGGTTACAAAGTGAGAGACAGAAGAGGGCATGGGATGTTCTGGCCAGACATAATTCTCTCCACCTGGAAAGGTGCAGTATGGTTGTAAAGGTAAAGGGACCCCTGACCATTAGGTCCAGTTGTGGCTGACTCTGGGGTTGCGGCGCTCATCTTGCTCTATAGGCTGAGGGAGCCAGCGTTTGTCCGCTGACAGCTTCCGGGTCATGTGGCCAGCATGACTAAGCCGCTTCTGGTGAACCAGAGCAGTGCACGGAAACGCCATTGCCTTCCCACCGGAGCTGTACCTATTTATCTACTTGCACTTTGACATGCTTTCAAACTGCTAGGTTGGCAGGAGCTGGGACCGAGCAACAGGAGCTCACCCCATCGTGGGGATTTGAACTGCCAACCTTCTGATCAGCAAGCCCTAGGCTCAGTGGTTTAGACCACAGCGCCACCCGTGTCCCTCTAGTATGGTTGTAGGTCTACCTGAAAATGAGTGGGGTGGCATCCAACCCAACTTCAAGCCCTGCATCTTCACTCAATGGAAAGGTGTGTTGTAGGATGACATTTGTTGCTCTCGGGGGAAGCTATCCCAATGGCAGCACCACTGCCGCTTAGTTGGACAGTGCCGGGAGGGAGCAGGGTGATGGTTAGTTCAGGGCTGTGTCTGTGTGCTTGTGGCAGTGCCAGACTGGCTCTGCCAGTGAACCTGGGCAAGCTCAAATTTGCCACTTTCCCACCACGTCTTTGCAGTATCAAGGTAAGCAGCAGCAACGCCTCTCTTGGGAGGGCATCTCCCACCACGCTGCCTGCTCTTGAATGAGCCCCACTCCTTCTAAGTAAATGGCTTGTTTTCTTTTGTAGATGTGTTCCTCTTTCTGCATCCAAAACCCTTATTCTCCATCCTCACATAGGTGGAAGTTGCTTATTTGAGTAGTGCACTTTTATTTGTTTTAATCCATTTTCGGTGGTGGCTGGTGCCCTTTGGGACTAGAGGGGTGGAAGGTGGAGTCAAAACCAATGATAGGCAGAAACTATTTCTAGTTTTGTTCCCATCCTCCTCCCTGCTAAGTGGTACCAGGGCAAGACCTGAGACTAAGGAGAAGGAAGCTGACAGCCATTGTCCCTGCCTGGACTAGTTGTCATTAAGAAGGCAGGAACATGGGGGCTGGCCAAGGCCAGACTGAAGTTGGTGGGGCAGTGCCTCATTTGCCTGAATCAAGAAGTCTCCACTGCTCGTTTCCTTACAAAACCTCAAGGAGACTCACCACAAGAACCATAAAATACAACAAAACCACAAAACAGGAGAGCAGACCAAGAAATAAAAACAATTAAGAAACCAGCAATCAATATTTCCTAAATCATTGTTGTCGTCATTCCCCAAGGGAGTAACAAAAGCCAGGTGGTAAAGTCCAGTCTTTAAGGCCTTTCAAAACAAAAAGTTTTTGACAATACAATGGAAGATCAATAAGGTTGAGTCCAAAGTTGAGCAGGTCAACAGAAAAGACCCTCTTCCTCAGACTAACCAGAAATTGGTTCCAATCTGAGAGGACAACCTCCATAGATCATCTTAATATGCTGGCAGCTCATATGGGGTAAGGGTGTTCTTCAAGCCATTAAACTCTTTAAAGGTCAAAACCAGCACTTTGAATTGGGTCCAGAAACAAATAGGTTGTGTTGTTCCAGCCACAAAGTGACATGTTCCTGGTTGAATGGACCATGCCAGGATTAGACTGAAAAACTGTCTTCTGCTCTGCCATTTGGAGCTTGTCATCATTAATTAAATAGCCCAGAAAGCATTTACAAATAACTCATTCTTATTTTGAGGGCAGCAGGAGGAAGTTCTAAATTCAAATAATAGCCAGCACAAAAAAATGAACTTCCAGCCTTTATTCCTCATCCACAGGAAGCAATTGTTAACTCAGTTCTTCCAGGGTTTCCCTGGGCCCTCCTTTCACTGCTTTCCTTCCAGCAGGCATCTCTCTGCTGGGTCATCCTTTTCTTGATTCTTGCCAAAACTCATGTGGTTCTTCCTATTATTGCCATCAGTTGAAGCAACATGGGGATGTCCTTTAAAAGTTAACTTTAGATTTAAATAAACATGTGGTTTAGCACAAAGATAGGCTTCAGTTCAGCTTCCCAGTACTATAATTGATTGTTTGCCCACTTGGGGACCAAAGGTATCATATTTTCCCTTACTGAAGTGCTTTTGTGGGCATTTGTCTTCGATTAAAGCTTGACTCTATCACTTTGCTGCTATATACTTATTAGTTTCAATACAAACTCCTTGCTTGACAGGTCAGACTAGCAGCCTTCAGGTTTGCTTGTGGCTTCACCTTGTGGTGAGCTCCAGAGCTGCACCTTGCAGCATCTATCTAAGGCTCGAGACCAGCCCACCTGTAAGGCAAGGTGAAGTGACTGCCTCAGGTGGCAGGATCCACATGGGCAGAAGATTCAGCTTCCAAGGAATGCATTACTGTTGTGGTGGCAGTGACAACCGCAATGCCTCCTCGGCAGCTCCCATAATATCGCCTCTACAGTGGCCTCTCAGTGAATTGGGGGTGCTGTTGCTCACCTCTCACCCCTAGGGAGGAAATAATGGGGGCTGCCCTCAGGGGTCTCCTGGGCTCTGAACCTGCACAGTGTGATTCAGAGCAGGTCCTTTCCCCTCCTATGAGAGCATTTGATTCCCACTGGGAAATCAAGTATGGTGATGTCCTGTGTGTCACACACGGTGTAGCATTAGATATTATGGGATGCCAAGGGGAGAGGAAGAAGAGACACTGGATTTGGCTGCTGCTTCATGTTAGCGGTCATGTGGATCCCAGAATGTCTACCTCCAGTCTTTGAGGGAGAGAATAAATAACTTTTATTTGTTCTCAATTCATCTTCTTTCTGAAATTTTGCATTTGTGCTTTTAAATAAAATTAAAAAATACTCTAAACAGGGTGGGGGATGCA